AGTGTACAACTCATTATAAATTGAAATCACAATCGATTTCGTAAAGTTATGTTTCGATGAATCCTATGTTTACACAATATACGATTACAAAAGTGTAAGCACGGTTGTGTATTCACACATAACTCATAAAGAACACCATCCGTACATTGCGCACAAATATACATCAAACAAAGCCGGAAAACACGTGTGTAATTAAAAATATTGCAGGTATTTAATTTTTGATCAGTATATTTTCATTATATTAAATTGGACAATGCATATTACAAAGTATTAAAATGACCAGTTTTACCTGACTCTATATATTCAATAGAATAAGTGTCCAGATCAAGAACTGTAAAAATAAATAAAATATATGATTAAATGCATGAACATTAAATCACTTTGATATTATTCTAGAAAAAAATGTCGATTCTCAAAAAGATGAGTAAATAGTTAGTTATTGATTTAACTTGTACAATGTTAATTTCAGCAAGAATTAATATGCTTACCATCATGTTTTTAAAATCATAATGGTACAAACCGAATACTTCAATGTCTCCAGTATCTTGTCCCAATGGTTTACACGTCCATTCAACGTCATGTGTTTGTGCAGAATCAGTAGCTTTGGTGCCAAATACATACACAGACTACTGACCAATAAAACCAAGAGGATACACTAGCATACACACTTTTATACATGCTTGCAACACAGGTAGAGGACATCACGTGACATGGACACTACAGGTAACATACAACACGTGACTTAAACAATAAATATTACGAACATCACGTGACATAGACAAGACAGGTAACGTACATTATACATAGGAACTTATAGGAACGCATAACGCTATAGTATACAGTTGCTGAAATAAAAAAGTTAAAATGTAAATTCCTTGTTATGTGTTTAAACAACTAGAGCAGAACTCGAGTCAAATATTTATGAAATTCACATTCATATTCAATGTGATTTATTTTAAACAAGAAACAAATATCTATACCATTGCACTCTCCGGTGTTTCTTTCACACTTGTCTTGACAGCTGACAGAACAGGTCTGAGTGCAGTTGGGGCCATACACACCAGGCACACATTCTGCAAACAGTCATTTACCTTCAATGCATCAGCAATTGAGTTTGATAAGCAAGTCCTTACTATGACAAACGAATGTTGAACATTTCTTGGCGAACAGTTTTAAAACGGGGTCATTTTAAGACACGGTAAGACATCGTTTTGGACACTTATTGTTCAACAATACAACATTAAAATGAGGTATACGTGAACATTTTTTTTTTTGGTTTTGAAAATGATCATGTACATGTAAAACGAGATACACGAAGTGAGGTATTAGAGGAAAGCTTTTGTACCTATAAGCCTTTGTGCCTTGCTACGTAAGGAACAAAAACGCACGCCCACCCACAAACATGCTGGTTTACCAAACATTATAATATTTTTACAAACAATGAATTAAGAAAGTAAGGATCATTACTTATTATAGAGATAACTTTTATATTACAACATTTGTTGTACAAGGAGAACTAATTTAGTTTGAAATCGCCAAATGAATTCGATAACATCAATTGTATAGGCGTGACCATTCATTTACAAATTCACAGACTTCTCATATCAATATCAATGTGCGGTAAATCGTTAGTGATAATTCGGGATAGCAACGAAATGTTGCGATGTGAGAAAAAACCGCCATAGAATCCAACCTCACATTCTGAAAATATCGGTTAATATGTCATCCAAGTTATCAATAAAAAATACAAGTTAACTATAACACAGCTCTCAGAAAATATTACAAAATAATATATATATATATAATGTAAGAAGAAAACTTCTCAACAACGAATCTTAAGTACTTTCATCTCTTCTAGGAAATTCTTCTGAATTATCAAATTAGTACTAAAAGGGTGCCTAAGATATTTGTATAGATATAAGCCAATGTATATTTCATTGAACTCCGTTGAAATGCCATTAATAGTCAATGTGATTGACACAGCTTTGGTAGCGCACGGGCGTTATGATGTGTTTTCATCCAGAGCCGCAAACAACGTTATAGTAAATGTAGAGTGATTCACACGTAACAGTTTCTATCGGTAAGTTACTGTAACTAAAACAAAATTGACTGATTCAAATATAAAGTGTATGATTTATACCTTTGAAACATCATAATCTTGTTTATTTTGTAAATGACGTACTTTGCTGGCCAATATTGATCACATCGATCGCCATTACATGGTGTCATAATAATTGTATTTCAAAATTCATTACTACAATTTCAATTTATTTTTCACTTATATATAGATAAACTACACTACAAAGTAATTAAGATGATGACATGTGTCCTGGTACTGTAATGTTAGTCGCAGTAATGGCTGAAAGTGAGACACTCCAGGAAAGCAATACAAAAATCAGTTTAGCGAGCAGGAGTAAACATACGTAATTCCGTGTATATCTACACATCACTGCATGTTTATCATAAAATCACCCAAACATTTATTATGTTTTAATCTTAGATACCAGTATTATGACCTTTTACTTACCTGAGCAAAGACCGGACTCCACATTGCACACGCCATTCAAACAATTTGTCGAACATGCTGTACAAACAAGCCCAGACTTATAAAATCCCGGCGCACAGTCTACAAATAATAAGACGTTACTGTGTATGATATGTTATTAAGTAATCACTGCTGATTCAAAGTATCAAACTGCAATTATCAAATGGTAGTTTTAATGACAGTTAGTATAATATTTTTAAAGGCAATGGCATTTCATTAAAATCAAGAAAAAATGAGATGAAGAAAAACAATAGTAAACATCTTAATGGTAAACATTCGTGATGTAATTTTATGTCAACGAAAGAAAATATCTTATATTCTAATGATATATAAATAAATGCGTAAATGACAAACTTTTCAATGTATTTGTTCTCCAGGTGTCTAGTAACCCTGAATATCGGAAACAATGACAATATTTGTGCAAAACGCAACGCCTTCTTTTGTGAATAACACATTTTTGTATAATTGACTGGAGTTTTGTCAATTTTCACATTTGTTTGATATATATCGATAAAAACTTTAGTCTATAAAAATTAAAAAATCGACTCAAAATATATTTACTTACATGAACACTGACCGCTGTTAGGATGGCACAGGCTACTAACACAGGTTGTATCACAGTTTGAATCACAATCTCCGTCACCATATTTCCCTACTGCACAACCTGAAATTTGTATCTCTTTTGATGCAATATGAACAAAAATCCTTTCCTTCTTAAACGAGCTATATTATTTTATGCGCGAGGTACTCTGGTTTACCCGGAGAAAAACCATCGTGATTTGGCTAGTGATTTAACATCTTTTCACGTCCGATCGGGGACACCCTTGCAGATCGGGGATCATCAAGAAATGAATACACTTGCTGTTAACCACTGCATGTGCCGTAAGAGGAGATTGATGTGAAAAACCTCTGCAGAATTTGGGATTAGCTTTAGTGTCCTCTATTTGAGGTCGCAAGAGCGACCAAAATAAACCTGTTGCACCATTGCAATATTTGGAATCTTTACATTTCCCACTACTTCTAGCTACATTTTATTCCATAGCGCCTTGCTGGACAATACCTCACCTTTAGCTTTAAAGTTTAACGTTCGTTCAGGTGAGGAAGGCAATTGGTTTTGTCCCCAGGCCAGAACATAACAAAGTCTTTAAAAATGGCAGGTACTATTCCCAGTCAAGTTTTTTTTTTTAAATGTACATGTCTCGTGATATTCAATAGGTACACGTGTGAAAAATACACTCATTTGATTCTACTCTGATATTTTGCATAACATGGTGATATGATTTTCGTACAAGATTTGTCATAATGTTGTTAATTTCTATAATATCAAAGTTATTATCTGAACAAGCAGATTTCCAAAACATTGACGCCAACATGTACGTAACATCGTGTGATTAAACATCAGTCTGATAGCTTTTGACACATAATGTTCCTATGTTTCATTCCTGTCAATTTAGTTTATTTCTCTCAAACAAAATCTTTAGTTCGTTGATTTAAGTTTTCAGGGCACGAATGACAAACACACACATTACAAAATAATGGAGACTGAATACTTCAAATGATGTACCAGTGGTTGACATCAAACTACCGTTCGGATATACTCACCATAAACTTGTACTTCACAGAGCTCCAGTATAGCTTGTGTAGAGTACCAAGAGTAAGCTAGTGTTTGACGGTCGACGTAAATTGTCAGGTATCGGGTGTTGCCTGTACATGATGTAAGTCGTGGAGTTAGGTCCACCATATTTTGTGTAGAAGTTGTGTCTGTATAACATCTGCCACTGTTTCTCAAACCTGTTGTATTTGACAGGTATATTTGATAACCGGCGAATCGAGCTTTTTGCTGATATATTTCATCTGAATGAAAAGAAATGTTGATAATTACAAGTTTAAATACATTGATATTTGGAAAACAATTCTGTTTTGTTGCTGCTTTCATTCCATAAGAAACAATATGTATCCTGTCGGACTACAGTAACCATTTCTTAATTGTTTCTTTCTTATACTTTATAACTTGTTTGCAATGTAATCTACTTTTTTGCTGATTTTAGCTGTAAAATAATACAGACAAAATTGAACGGTTAAATACATTTGAATGCATACTGCTATTATTACAAATGCTAAGTCTTTCCTCATCATTTACCGTGTTTCTTGTCGATTTCTTCCGGGAAACTTATTGATGTTGTCGTTACAACGTTTGTCTAGCAACAGATACGTGAAGTGTTTTTTTCTGAATAATCTCCCATATTAAGACATTTATCCCTATATTTGAATATTTCTGTAACAGAAATAATTCCAACAATTTCATCTGTTAAAAATGAATATGAAAAAAAGATATCAGAGATATGAAGGTTTTCCCTTGAAATGTATGCATTTAGCTAATGATTTCTATTACCTGAATTGAAAGCTGCAACACTACAGTAACACCATTATCATGCATTTTATTTATTTTTGATAGAAATATCTTTAGCAAATTGCATATGAAATGTATCCCCGAATAGTTTGGTCCGATTTATCTTAGAATTTGTCTACTGTCTGAGATTATGGGAGATAAACAATAAAAGTGAATCTGATTAATTGTTTTCAAATAAACCTTGTCATATGGAAATGCCTTTAGAATGTGACTACGATTAATCAAATGTGTTGTTATGAATACAGGATATCCAGAGTGTTTGACAAGAGATCAAATGGGCATTTATCGCTCACCTGCCTTTCAATACTGTTTGATATCACAACTCCACTTCTGTAGCGGTCAAGGTACATATAACAGTACAGACAGACCAGCTTCATTCTATAAACTTCCAATGCTTTCTTGGGAAAGTTGACGAACTAAATTGTGACACTCTCCACACTGGTTAAGGTAATTCACTCAAGGCAACAAAAAATATATCTTCGAAAGTAAAACACTTAGCATTACTACCCTAGACCCTTAAGTACCATAAGATTTTAACTACAGTATTATGACATAATTGACCCTTAATATCTAGGTCCAGATCATTTGTTTTAAACTGTGTATTGCTTCAACTACGAAATGTATCTGTTAGTTCTTCATAAAATGTCATTTGAGTATTTTTTGTTTTATATGTTTTACACCTATGAACATTTATTTAGGAATATTCTATTGTATATATCTTACAAATAATGGATATTGGTCAACATGATACATGTACCCCTCCTGACAGTGACAAAACAGAACCTACACATCTTATTGACATAAGAAATATATAGTTATATTGATATGGCAAAATGTCGTTATTTGAGTCATACACGAACTGGTCACAAAAAAAGGCACGCTGTCAATACACCCATATTAACGTGTGTTGGGAACATCAGGGAAGTAGACAAGATCAACAAGAACACACGTACAAATGATTAGATTGAAAAAGAAACGACCAGTGTCTGTAATGAATTTTCTTGATGTTTCTTTTAGAAAAGATGAATGTTGAACATTCAATCGAACTGCATCATTCAGTACGGAAAATAAGTTAAGGAAAAATAAACGTCATGTGGATCATATATTTTCTTATATATGGACGATCATATAGTAGAAAAATTGCAATGAGAATTATTTATGACAATTTTTTATACAATTTTTATAGTAAATAACTATAAAACATTATAAGGAACAAATTAGCAAGCAATGGAGGGTATCAACTGTTCTATGGTAAATTTAACAGACAACATGATTAATTACATTTTTTTTATACTTATCGATTAAAATTCACGGATCTACTCTTTGAACATTCTGTATATACCTACCGCCAATATTAGAAAATAACAATCAACATTGGAACTGGTGGAAAGATAAGATGCTATAAAAATATGCAAATATCAAAACGTTTACCAATAATATTGAATAATATAAATACATGAGATTGTATCTCAAAGCTTACCATATGTAAATATACAGTTAACGGTGTATCTTTCCGTACGTCCGTCAACCTGCCCGCTTTTCGTTTCTGCACTAAAATTTGGTGAAATATTTTCTGACATTAATGTAAGATTTTGTGCTTGTACAACTTCCGACGACTTAAGTTGAAATTTAATGGGATTCATTTGATAATAAATAAATCTGTTTGTCAGAGTACAAAGATATTTGGTGTTGTTGTGCCTTATAACCAGATCCCGAGCTGTCGTCCTTCTCAATACCATAGCTAAGAGTTATCTCCCCTTATCACACACAATCTTCACAGACCCTGCCAAGAGCTGTATGAGAGCGGTTCAAAACATCACCCACCGACCAGCCCAAACATTTTGTCGTTTCTGCTGGGTTTTTATTTTGTATTGCAGGTGAGGGCTTCAGGATTTGCCTCATGGTGCATCATTTTCGTCGGCAGATCAAAATCGTCATGGCTTCATCAACCATATTTCAAAGACAATACTTTTTCATCTGAAGTTACTGTTTATGGTTTGAACAAAGGAACATTGTCATTTGGCGGGTTAGAGGTTGCCACCAGGAATAATAAGTATGCAGTGTTTATTTTTTCTTTAAATTTTCAAAATTTTCAAAATGACGGTTGCCCACAGAGTCAGTTCTTTATATAGCCTATTGACAGATCTTGTCACACATTTATCTAGTTTATTTGAGCTGGCCCCAAGCCCAATTTTGGGTGGTAACCTTTTGGTGACGAAGCCATGTCCACACTCGCCAAACATAGCATAAAGACAATAGATGTATCACAGTTTATTGGCCTTTGTATAGGGTTATTCATAATTGTTGAAAGAATATTAAAACAATTTGAACTGAATTTTTGATTGTTTGTTATCTCTGATAATAGAAACTGCGCATATTTCATTAGCATTTTAGACACGATTGGTTAGTGTTTTTCACACTAAAATCTTATATGACAAACGTAAAGAAATGACATCTGATTGCATCCATAATGTTTTTTTTATAAATTTGGGAGTAGACCACACTCGATTATAGTGGAGCTTATTAAACATTTAGGTCCAACTAGCCTCCTAGAAGATGGTATACGATTACAATCTCTTAATGAGTCCTATATGAAGACCCGACTTTAACATCGGGATTCAGATATAAATTGGATATTTTGAACTTGTACATTAGTTATTAAAAGTGTCCACACCCATATTAACTTCTTCTGCAACCAGGAATTAATACTGGTGTCATCAAGAAAACAACTAGTTGTAGTTTTGAAGTCGGAAGTACCACTGCGATAACAAATTTTACCGGTATATATATGCAAAACCAATGGCTTTTTTATCTTCATGTGTAAATGAACCTAACATTAAATGCCTTATCATAATATTTAACGTTGTTATAAAGCAGCTAGATGACTAGTTACAACAATTATAACACTTTTCAATTACAACGTTTATAACATGTCTAGGTAATTATCAAGTTCATTTACAAAATGTATCAATCTGAGTTACTTTGCCTTTGTTTTCATGTTCACAAGCTGTTAAAACCAGATAATTTTATTATTATTATTATTATGGTTTTGCATTTCCATATCAATCTTATTTTGTTGCCGGTGTGCTTCTACACAGCCAGTAAAGGAGAACTATAGCTGCGAATGACCTTGGTATATAACGCCAATGTACCTAAACCGGGACAATACCAAAAACGGAACACTTTTGGGAAAGCAGCTCAAGAAATGGGCATGCAATAGTCGAGGAAGTATTGTTATGTTTGTAATTTTGTTAAGACACGCTTATGTCAGTTTTACTTTATATCGGAGTCAACGGTTCATTGTGGTCACAAGGACAGTTTAAGGTAAGAAATAGATACGTAAACAAGACTTGCCATGTAACGTAATGTATTTGGGTATCATATTTAGAAGACTAGATAACACTAGTTTGGAGAAAAAAACAAGCAGATCCCTGATTCATCTTCAAAATTACAACGTCTCTTTTAAGGTACAGTTACTCCTGTTCCAGAGCCCAAGTAACTATAACTCTACTTCGTAATATATTCATAGAACCACGTGTTAGAAATATTGACTGGTAATTAAAAAAAAGTAAATAGTATCTAATTATGAAAAAATAATTAACGTTTTGAAATGGATACTATGGTATAAGACATATCGATTACATACTGATTACACTTGTTCCTTTCGTTTCAAAACCAAATTAGGATATTGTAGGCACTTGATTATTAACTAACAAAGTAACAACCCAGCATTATTTCTCTGCACTTATTGAGTCGAAAGACGCGAACGGAAATCTAAAACTATCGCATTTGGCTTTGACGAGGAATAAACCGGAATAAGGTAATTCCTTTATGAATTATATAAGTAACAGTTTTATGTGTGTAGTTGAACAAACGTACTTATTTTAATACATAACACAACACTAATTCACTAATAAGGTTTGATATGGTTACGCAATGACTATACAGTTCCTTTACTTTCTATTTATGTAAGCGTTTATAGAGAGTAACTATTTGTTTACATCACCTCTGTAATATATCTGGATGTATTCGATGACGACCTGATCACCAAGGCTAATCTGCCACCAAGCTTCATAAAGTGCAGGAGTCGCTTGTGTATGTGAGCAACAACCACTATTGTGCCTCTGGATAGTACAGCCATCCACTACCTTGGTACTTGTGTGCACGTCATCATACTCTGAACTTTGACTTGTCGTGACTTTCGGATCAAGACTGGTGTTTACTGAAATGGAAAAGAAAACACATTTTGGCACGGCAATCGACATTATACACAAAGGTATTGAAAACAAAGTAAATGTTAAGATAGACGACAGAATATAAAATTGTGTTTGTGTCCATCTACTGGAAAAGTGCTTTTTAATTCCTTAATGCCAAATTGTAAAATTAAGGTTGCAGAACTATTCCTATCAAGGTTAAACATATATATTGAGCTAACAACACTTGTATACTACCAACGCATGCCAAAGTCGTTAAAGATACATTTGTTTGACATAATATCGTATTATAAACTACGTGACGCAGATTTAAAAATTACGTTTGTTTAATCAATATATCGTTTTAGGTAAAATCTTGATAATATCTCATTAAGGCAATACTGGAATGTTGTTGTATTGAAAATTGACGCAATTTAAGAAGAATGTATCCTGATCGGGGCTTTTCATGTTGAAATGCTAACGCAAAAAACAAATACATGTGCAATCCAACCTGACGCTTAAGAAACCTTCACTGCCGACATGAACTATACAAATCGATTGGGATACATAAAAAAGATTCAGTATGCACTAAAGAAACATGTTGAATATGTTTGATGCGAGATTTCTCACGACGTTTATTTTGTAACAAGGGTACGTAACAACAAGGACAACAGTTTAAAATATTAATATTTGCGCGGCAATGTAACTATGTAAACCGAATATAAACCAAAATTAGTAATACTACCAACGTGACTAAAACGTGGACAAAACGGCGGAGATCACCTTTAACTTTCATTCGGAATTTTTGTTTTGGGCGAAAAAAACTACTATCATCTCAATGTTGTTGGTGGAAATACAATTACATGCCTAAATATCTGTCTAACCGTACCAAAGGTTAAGAATAAGAGTGCGTAGTAATCGATGTAGTGATCGTTACCATGGAATCATTTTTCAAACTTGATAGTCAATCATCTGACCATGTTAATATATTAAACAGTAGGACTCCAGACCTTGTAGAACCTTAGAAGAAGTTTTTTGAAGTCATTATCTTGAAATAGCACATAGGAAGTTTGTGACCTTGATTGTGACCTTGATATTTCATCAATGTCAACCATTTTTTCAAACCTGATACATCGACATCTCAGAATCTTTATTTTTAAATATCAAGACTCTAGACCATGTGAAACTTAAAAAGAAGATTGGTTAAGGTTGGTACCCAATATAGTGCATTTTAACTTTGACTTTTTAATTTGAAATATTTTGTATTAACATGTAGTGTAGTTAGATATGGAAATTATCTACGAATAATTTACTTCACAAATTCTGTACAATCAACGGTTTTTGAGTTATAGCGATTTTAAAGATTTTACTCTATGACGTCATGGCGGCTATTTTGTTTTTTCGATGAAGTTGAAAATGTTACCAAAGGTTAGAGGACATCTGGGGAAATCTTTTCCATAACAACTAAACCACATATTTGTCATTGATATTGGAGTAAAACTAGTTTTAAAATATTGCGAAATTTTTAAAAGATCAAAGGAAATAATTCAAAATGGAGTACAACCTTAACGGGAAATGTTACAGAAAAACTTCAAACATCAACTTCATCGGAATGACATCCTCCATCGATCTGTAGAAGTATTTTTCAAAAACAATGAAAAATGAATGTTTTTTAAAAAATGGTGACCTTTGACCCAACAGCGAGCTTTTTTTTATTTGAAATATTTTGTGTTAACATGTAACCAAAAAAAGTTAAATATGGAAATTATCTACAAATGATATCATTGCACAAGTTCTGTACAACCAACGGTTCTGGAGTTATAGCGGTTTTAAAGATTTTAACCTATGACGTCATGGCGGCTATATTGGATTTTTGACCTACTTGGAAATGTTCATGAAACATCTTCTGACCTTGGCCACCAACATACTTAAAAGACTATAAACTTATATTTTACCAATCAAAAGATACAGACTCCACAAAACAGCAGAAGAATAGTAAGAATGAGAATAATAAGAAACATAACAAAAACAATAGGTCTTTACACCAGTTGGAGAAAAGCCCTAATAATGTCGAAGTGTTGAATTCTTTTAACACAATATATTATATTAAGTGAATAAGAACTTATGAAAGTTGTTTCTCCCACAAGTACTGTAGGTTTCCTCACTTCCGACTCTTTGAATAAACTTACTAGGAGTTGGTTAACATTTTTCCTGACCCACTAGTACGTAACACCCTTGACCTTATTACACTGGACAGTATTTCAATTATTACATCAAGTTACAATACTGTGCGATGTCATTTTCAATTGTGATACCATATTTTACATTTCTATGTGTTTATCGTAAGTAGTAAAGTTTCAAATGGGAAAACAGTCGGTATAGCTAGTGTCTGTACACCATTTGAACTAACTCGAGCTTAATAAATATGATAGCCAATTATCACTCGTTTGGGAACCTGTATTTTATTGTTAGTGAATCCACGAACTACTAATTTGTCAACTTCAGTCACAGGAAAGTAGAGTATACCAGTAAATCTTTGGTGAATTTACATACTTTCGCATATTAAAATGGAGTGACTTTATTCTTTGTGAAAGACAGAGAGAAGGGAAAGGGTAAACATAAATATAAAATGATTTCGGGTGGGTTTATGGACAATTTAAATTTCCAGAATTAACAAAAAACAAAACGAACACAAATTACAAATGATATATCAAATAAACGATGATGTTCATTTTTCAATGAGTAAATATAATACACATTGATTCAGGTGTTTACGGAACACCAACTTTTTTTAGTTTAGCTTAGTTTTATAAATACATGTTTACTTAATTTTAATGTGTATCAAAAGGGAGTATAAAAAAGTCCTCGATGCGATAAATTCGGCCTTACCCCCTATGAATTGTACTGACCCTCTCTGGTTCCATAGTAGGTCAGTAACAAACCATATAACTAATAATATGTACCTTTAAGTGAACCACTGTGATAGTCAAAAGTTTATTCAGTGACCGCGTACACACGTGCTCGATCGACAGCGAATACATATATAAAGGACAACTTGCACACTCAAAGGGGTTAATATAGAGATACATATGTCAAGTCCGTAAAGACGTGATTTTAAACATAAGCAGGCATCAAAAATGTTCATACCTATATTATTTAGTACTTGTAATTCTATGTGCAGATATCTAGTTACATGAGAAAAAAGACATACAGGCACTATAAACAGTAAAATGGTTTTGAAACACTTATAAAATGGCACCTACGGACTGATAATTCTACTTCCTGACAATTTTGTTCTCTTTCCCCTTATCAGCCGTCTTCCTGCGACACTCGTGTATTTTTGCGAAACATAATGAGCGTTGTTTACACTTTCACATATTCTTCATATGATCTCCCTTTACTAACCTGTTTATGGTATGGTAAAGGTGCCAGCTAACGCTTTTCGTAATTTCGAGGTTCTATTTAAGGACTCGCAGAGCTAAATCAGCCGATCAGTCAGTGTTCCATGCGATTGTAAACCATACCTGGCACCCACAGACTGATATGAGGAGTGACATGTTCTGTTCTACAATTATTGAGTGTTATCTATACACTTATAAACACACTGACCTAACAAGCGCTCCTTGCTATTTATTATGGTTTACATGCACAACATTCCATTACTGCACCGGAGCGTTACACTGACCATGCATTTACAGACATTGTTGAAGGCTACGTAGGATAAATCACACAAAATAGCTTTGGATATCCTGTCAGGTTACATTAAAGATATTTCCTTCTAGTTGTAGCATAACATTAAAATCTTTCTTATTTGACTTAGCCGGTTGGTAAAATATGCAATAATGTGACGAAATAATCACGAAGTAACGCCTGCATATCTTAATGAGGGCGATGGTGTCAGTGCTGTGACTGTTACATGAATTTCAATAGGAGATCTCACCTGATGCCTTAGCCAACGTCAACGTTCTCAGTACTGACCAGATGACCAGCGGGAATATGTAGCGGTGAAGCCTCATGTCTGGTCGGCTATAAGTGAAACACCTAATCTGTAAAACAGCTTACTAACCAGGAAGTTCAAACAGGTCTAGGATACAAAACACAGGTATTCATTGAGGATTACACCTGAATGATTTAGAATCGGTAAAGTTGTTTATATACATCGGTAAACCTAAGCTCTTCTGTATACACATTAATGCAAAGAAGTAATAATGACAGTGCAGACGACAACTGAGTTTGTCAAATTTTAGTTATTCATTTTGCACATAAAAGAACGGGCCGATCTATTTATTTCATATACTTTGGATAAAATAGCACAATAATATAGAAGTTGAACCAAGATTCGTTTAACATTTTAAATAACTACAAAAGTAAGGCTTAAAGTGTATCGATCCATTTGATATATATACAGATCTTAATCCTCAGTGAATACCTGTGTAATTGTATCCCTAGACCTGTATAAACTTCCTAGTTGGTACATGCACATATATATATATATATATAACGAAAAACAAATAACAGAAAAAGTCTCTTAGCCTTTAACCTTGACTGAGATTCTTCGGGGGACTGTGTATTTTGAAGAGTGCACATTAGATTAGGACGTCATCAATACTATCACGTCACAAACAATACAAAGTATGGGATATCCCTTGTCTCCCTTTCACGATAATTGTCTTATAAAAATACGTTTATTGTGAACTATTCAGACCGGGTTCTTTGGTTTCCCTTTTTATAACATTGGAAGAATACATTTAGTATATAGGGATAACCGTGAATTTTTGTTAGCACAATTATGAATATGTTCGTTAACATGTAAAACATTTAAATCATCACGTAAATTTTGCTGTCAGTGTAGTGCCTTTCTCAGTTTGTATCGGCGTCATAGATGTCGCGCCGTGTGTAGGGAACCATGAAATAATCCTCGATAACCATGGACAGAAACCAGAAATCATTAACTAAATAAATCATGCTACCTTCTGAACATTTTCCTCTCATTCTATCCGTTTCAGCCATGTTTCCGTTGGCATCTGTGAATCTCTTTCAACACAGGACAAGCGTCGTTTACAGTTTCACATATTCTTCACATCATCTCTCTTTACCAACGTTTCTATGGTATATTTGCTTACAGGTGCCAGCTGCTGCTTTTCGTAATTTCAGGAATCCATTTAAGAAAATATCAATTTCTAGCCCCCCCACCCCCCCACCCCCAGCGTTTTTTTAGTAAATGAACTAAGTATAATAATATTTAGTGGAGTTTATTTATAGGTTAATCAGCCATCAAATCTAGGTAGTAGTCTATTGTTTTCCTTATCACTTGGTTACATACCTTTGAGTCATTGTACTCCGAACTCCGATTAAGACTATAGTTTGTGGCAAGGTTCAAAGTAAAACGATACCATAAAGTAGGATATTATATGTAACGATACACATCATTAGGGAATGACAACATTTTAAGAGGGAGAATGATGCTGTATTTGAATTGAGCATAGGTTTATGTGCATCAATGATTTTCTGTTTACATATACTCGGGACTGTAATTGGGATATATTTCTGCTGAAGCATGTGATATATTTTTGGTTATACTTGTAAGGTGACATAAAAAAACATCAACCAGAAAATGAGGTGTCCATATTCTTGCGTTTTTAGTGGTATACTTTTAAAACAATACTCACAATACAGTACTGTACATTATATAATAATATACACGATATTAATGTAACCCTACCGGAAATGTTCAAATACATCACAGTTGATATAAAACAGATCAATCTTTAAGTAACATGGATTTGGCCAGTAAGAATCAATTGGTATACAAACGTGAATACAATTTGTCAATTTTCTTTCCAAGGTCAATATGAAAAAAGTCAATATGTTTTCAGAAGCAGTGTAACCTAATAAATTACAAGTAAAATACAGTTATAAAATAGATTATATTATTTTTAAAAGATACAACTCTATTTTGATTTACTAGTTGATGTAGAGTGTGTTTGCCTCACTCACGTGCATACTAATGATACATGAACATTTTGTTTCTTCCATAAGGTACATGTATATAACTCAACCTGATCTCCACCTGATAGTGAAATTGACCATGCGTTAGATGTACACGAACAGGGCAGCATCTTATGCTACTCAGTAAATATGCTATACATATGTAACTTGAAATATTAAATACATACCAATTTTGTTCTTACGGTTTTCCAACAGTCTCAACCACAAGCAAAGTAATTTCATATGGACTTAGAATAACGTCTCGCTCAACATGTTATATGTCTCTGCATCTCCGATCACGTATGGTCTTGCTAGGCACTTAGTTATTGGTGATCTTTATTTAATGAACGAGAGTTTTTTATGAGTAAGAAAATGTTGGTGAAACCTTTCACATTTTCCATATACGAAAGGATACCTTCTTGCATTATTTTCTTGATTATAACTTTTTCTATTTGTTTGTTGTTGTTGATAATTTGTTTGATCAAACTCTCTCTTTGGGCCCATGAAGATAAAGATAGCTATTTGTTCAAAGCGTTGTGTATGCTTAATATACATGTATTAATCTTATCAATAGTTAATCGCATGCCAACCCTGTGGTTATCTAACACTGCTTGAAAACTGGCTCAAAGCTACTTATACTAATTCCCAAAATTTGCCCCCCCCCCCCCCTCCCCCAATAAAAAAGGCCACCTTCTGGGATCTTAAAATCAGAAATTATATATAGTTTACTACAATGGTAAACTGCGATAAATACAAAAGTCTTGCAGTGATTCTGTACTGTACAGAGCGATGAGATATTAAGTCAGTATGAACATAATATGCTTTACCTTAACAGTGAGAGGATATATGATACATGTTTGGGTTCTACTGTAATAAAACTAACGTTTAGATATTGTGACAACGTAAAAAATCACACAAGAATTGACAACAATTTAAAGGTTCATCACCTACATATTATTGTGCTAAGTTATGAGACGAAGTCATCACAGCAATAACTGTAGGTGTGTAAGTTAGTTCCAGTAACACGGTTACGTTGTGTTGAAGGATGGAACTATCCAGTTAACAAGAACCATTGCCCTATGTTTTCTCGCCAACATCTGTTGTGTTGTATATATGAGGAATTTCCACCTCCCTGCGTCCAAGCTGTTCATAATTTGCCTCAGTGCGGGAGATCTGCGCAATGGTTTGTTCCTTGTTTTGAGTTGTTATTACGTCGTAGGTATTATCTGGAAAATGAAACACAAACATAAATTGATTTTCATGCTGGTGGGATCATTGTAATGTTATTAACATGAGTAAGTAGGCCGTAAGGTTGAGATATCCTTACACCGTTCGAAGTTAGTTTGAAAGCAGGAATATATTGTAATCAAAGTGTCGAGGTTTCCTTTTTACAAATTAAATAATTTTTGAAATTATTGCTTTTTCCATTGTAATCGCTCTTGTTGTAAACAAACGTTTCAATCGTTTGATAGTTCTTATGTGAATATACAAGTGTAGTAGAATCGGGACAGAAATCGCTACTGTGTAAAACAACTGAAACATATCTAAATTTGCGTTATATGTTGCTTTTATTTATCATACCGTCACATAGATGTTCACCTTGATCTTTATTTAGCTCGTTTGTAGTTCTGGACAATGATAAATCTGTCATATGAGAAGCACCTGCGGTGTCACCTCGCTTCATCGTCAGACGTCTAGCCAGTACAATGATCACGACGACCAGAGCCAGTATAACCACCCCTGATCCGACGCCTATTCCAACTGCGGCGTGTAAGGTGTCCCGATTCGTAATAATTACCACTACAGCATAAAAAGTGATGATTTAGTTATGATATTGTATGTATGTCCTTTCATTTTTCGGGTCGGGGTGTCTCTTTGTTATTATATTCTACACATTAGGTTGAAATTTAATCTAATAAATACACTAAATACTGAACAGATCACTTTTAGAAATTGTTTGAGAGGATAAAGTCCCAAACGTATTCATTGTAGGTATATCATAGAAATATTACCTTTTGTGTCACATGTGTCTCCAGTCCATCCATCTTCACATCCTGTCACACAGTCCCCCACATCCTTGTCGCAACTCACACCTTGACAACTGCCACACAACTCGGAACATTGGCTGCCATAAAAACCGGCTACACATACTACAAGCACAAGCATACTCAGACGTCATAAAGAATCCTGAATAACTAGTACTGTACATGGTAATTTGATTTGTGTATTTCAAAATAAAAAGAGGCGAAACTAAAGTATTGAACAAAAACGGTATTCTAAATCAAAATTGAAGGAACAAAGGAAAATATGAAAAAAAAGAAAAATATTGAGATGGAGACCCCAAGACAGTTCAAGGAGAATAAGACCCTGTTCTTATGTGCACTTGGATATGATAAGTTTTCACAATAAATTATGATGGTCATATGAAAGCTTGCTCATTATCTTTAATAACAATGCCAGCTTGAACTTGTCAATGTTTGTCAATTTCAAGATTGAAAATCAGGCAATATCAAATACGACCCCTAACACACGGCAACACTATCCTGGTTCCGCCTTAATTTTACTCAGCGCTTAAAATCGATTTAATGATTTCAAATATTTTTCGTCGTTGTAATTTTAATAAAGATAGATGATGGTACAATTAAAACATAGTATGTATACAGTGTCAGAAAGATTAGACCCAGAGTGCGGGGGTAAATATGTAATCGAATCTTTGCAGGGGAGCTTAGGTCCCATTTACGCACCCCTTTACCCAAACTAGGATCTGTTCCTGTAAGGATTATGATATTTGGAATTTTACCTTTTAGTAGTCTTTTGGTACATTTGAACATGACGAAAAGAGTAAACTGGTAAAGCATTAACAAAGTAGTTACTGCCATCAGATAATTCGATTTCATAGGCGTACGATTTTCGAGAAAAATGACATATTTTTTCCACCTACATGTCATTTGGGATTTTGCATACAAATTATCGTTAGTCGTATCTATAGTTATTATATTCAAGTATTGCTTTAGGACGAACACAAAGTATCAGCTCGTTTTAGCGGAAATAATTTCAATGGTGGATATATTACAATATCAGTTGATATATTATTCAACATAATCAACGAAGTAATCATTAATTAATCTTTTGATATTCTAATTAATCCAAAAAGATAAAATAAAAAATAAATGATCAAACTTTTTTTTCGTTGCATCAGTATTTTTGTATAAAATACATGTTTAGCTTCGACTTTTGCCTGCACGGTCGTACCTCAAAATACTAACTCCTCAGTATGACAAGTTTTCATTATTTGTCACAATCATCTTAACTATGTACCATTGTTATAATCAAGAAAACATGACAAATTAAAAAGTAGTTATGAGAACTGTTAAATGAAATATTGATACTTGATCACATTTCGTTCATATTGATAAACGTTTCCTGCAAGGATTTGGTGATCAAAAAGGACAAACTTTCGATACCATTCCAGAATCTTCCTGAATTTTGAATAAAGTATAAAAAAATGTTTCAAGGCATATCCAGGTTAGATTTACATTGATACAACTAAACGATCATACCTTCGCATTCTCCACTACTTCTGTGACATAGGGTATCTTGACAGTTTTCAGGACAAGACTTGTTACACTCAATGCCATAGAAGCCGGCTTCACATTCTAAACAATTGAAACACGTTTAATTTCCTCCCAGAATCTGAATTAAATGTCATAATATCATTAGCTTTTTGTTCGAAATATACAAATCCAGATGTTGTGGTACATGCATCAGAATAGTTACCATCGCGAATCAAGTATTTGATTACAAATAGATCAATTACAAACATATTTGCTTGGTCATCTGATGTGAAAATATTCGTCATTCACAGCATACTTGCAATTCTACGATACCATTATTGTACGTTTTGACTATCATGCTTTTCTTAATAAAGATTGACACCTATCGCTGCATTATGTACACACACAATTATTTATTGCGGTTATGTTAGGAATAGCATTATCTTATCAGGAAACCAATCTGTGGTATGGACATTTATACAACATTAACGAAAAAGTTCTACATGTATGTCGTTATTTTAAGATAATAAGTCCAAATTTGTTTTATAAGTAAGCCGTTCGATTATTGGATGTGCCTTAATTCAGGTCGTGATACAAGCTAATCATATGCTGTATAAACGAATTAATTTACTGGTAACTACGAGATTGTTGGTCCAAAATCTTTTTTGCTAGAGGTAATAATAGGCTTGCACAGATATTTGATGCATCTTGTTATCTGTATGGTTATCATAATTTACCAGGTACATGTAAAAGTTTTTGATTAAATGATGTATGTATTATCTATACATTGACCGTTGTCTAGATTACAGACGTTGTTCCTGCAATTAATAGGACAAAGCTGGCTACACAAACTGTCATATATTCCAACAGCACAATCTGAAAACATCGGTTAATAAGTCACCCGATTTATCAACAAAAATGGCTAGTAAATAGAGAGTATTAAACAGTGTCTGCATACTCGTAAAAAATATCAAAATATATGACACACACGTAAAATAAAGTTGGTATTACTAAAGATACTGTAAGATATTCTATTTATTTCATTTTTTTACGAAAATCTATCTCAGAACGCGAAGCGACACATCAAGCTGACAATACTCCATCTATGTCATTTATATATGCCAAAAAATATAGTCCTCTCTGCAAAATAAAAAAAANTGTTTTATTGGTCAAATAAGCATTTGTGATATTTTTCATCAGTGAAAACATTCACTTTTGTGGAATAAATATTTTTCAATATATCTCATTGGTAAGAATGTAAAAATATAATATATTACTCTTACAAGCTATAACATGTGGATTGAGCCCGGAGGCTGTGGTTCGTGTATGTACGTGTGTAGGCCAACGTATATTATTTCTTTTATATTGTTGAATGTTATCTCGATATTATGAAATCACTATCATATGACAACAGTACAATTATGTTAACTATTATAAAATTAACGTCTACAACTCATCGTAAATGTCCTTTCATTTCTCATCAATGTTTCATTAGCAAGAATTAGCTTTTCTTACCTGTGCACTGGCCGTTCTCTATGTTACAGACGTTGTTTTTACAGTATGCAGGACAAGACTGGTTACAGAAATTGCCATAGGATCCAACCTAACAATCTAATAATAAATATTAAAAAGCCATAATGAAATAAGTGCATCAAAGAGTTTCATATATATATATATTACTTATCGTAAACTATTGAATAGTCTCCTCACAAATTCATAAATAGACACACGTTATTGAATTGAAAAAGCAAATGCTCGTTGATGATATCACAAGTAAAACACACAGGGCAAATATTTGTTTTATCATTAATATGAAGATCAGTTACTGAAATTTAATATCCTTACGGAAACAATTTCCTGCCGTTTTGTCGCATGTGTCAGTGCTACAGCCAACAGGACAAGGTGAACAGGCTTGTCCGTAGAATCCATCATTACAGTCTGAAATTATAACATTTATAAAAAGCTAGCACTGCACATAAAATACTCCACGGTGCACATGCAAAATGACTCCTGCAGGAACCCATGTATTACAGTTCGATAATGCATGGTCTATATAATTGATCAAATATGCATGTATCCTTTCTATAGAAATAGACAATCTTTTACCAAAGGCTTATACTGTTCAAAGCAAGACAAGATAAACGTACACATTAAACAAATTTATCTTTTATAATATAACTTATATGTAAATTTTGAATTTCAGGGGTCATTTTGAAATTTGCATAAAATTTCTTCGAATTACATATAATAAAGTTTCAGGATACAACATAACTTTGCGTTACATGTTCGACACAATCATGTCTAGAAGTAGCATTTGTCTATATAAACAATTTTGAAATTAAATGCTTTAGTGTCAAAATTAAATACATATACACATATTGATATCTCTTTTGCAGATGCGATATTGGACGAAAAATCTACTTTGATTCTTCTTATTATAAATTGCATTGCTTGGTGATAAATATCGCACTGTTTTGCCTATTATTTATAAGCTAGTTGTAGACAACTATCAATTTGGAATAGTTCCTTAAAAGTAACAAAAACCAGTAAAATATGGTATTCATTGTATCCACAACAACATCATATTATGTACAAACAGCGAATCATTAGTATAAAACTAAATCTTTCATCATTACAGATTTCATTTAATAATAATAAAACTACTGAACATAACTAATAGCAATCTGTTCTTAGATATCTTTCTCTAGCAAATTATAAACGACGCCGCTAGAAAACCATCGATCAGTAATCACTATGATGTAGATAAAAATATGGGTAAAGGTATATCAATATTTTCAAGGAGCCCAGTGGTTTCCTGAAAGTTGATCATGATACTTCATACTTAAACAAGTTCCTGACATTTTGTCGCATGTATTACTGCTACATCCAACATGACAAGGTGTACAGGCTGGCCCGTAGTATCCATCATTACAGTCTGAAAATATTGCCATATCCAGTATGTTGTAGTACCGACCTAAATAATGATTACGACTATACAACTGAATGTTGAATGATCACTCTGTCTGATAATCTTTGACTCATAGAATACATCAACTTGAATGATTTATAAAAACATTCAAATATACAAGAGTTGACTTCAACTTCTTACATGGATAAAGTGTATTTATCTTAGATCGCAGGGTTCTTTGATGTTGTTTTTAATTGTATTGATAAGGATAGTAGTGGTTGCAGGAATGTAACCTTTGTATATCCATTTGAAAATTTAAATCTAATTCCCAAGTCCTTTCAAACTGCTTCACTATGAAAGTGGTGTGCATTTTGTATTACAAAATGTCCTTACGCAAGTTATTGTTAGTACAGCAGTTCACTTACTTGTGTACTGGTCAGTTTGTCAAGCTGTGACTAACCTGTATAACGATGTGATGAAATTATTGACTTGTTTTGTCCTTCAACTGCCTGGCATTTTCCCTATCGATATACACTGTACCGAATAAGGTGCTGGTTGGTTGTAGATATATCCCCATATCCCGTTTAAATCAGTAGTGGGTTAAACAGATGATTATTTGATGATTTATTTTACAGCTAAACAACAAATCGCTCGATAAAGGGACCGGTCGGTCTTGAAACGTTGCGACACGTTTGATACGTTCATTAAATGCATTAATGAGTAAGACACTTTTGTAGATACATACTCTCCAATTGATGAATGTTGTTTGACGTTTCTTAAATGTGAATTTTATAAATATCACGTTTAGATTTTGTCTTTCTAACAAGTTACAACGTTGTCATTTTTGATTATTGGAAGTTTTTCTTACCTACACATTGACCGTTGACCATGTAACAAACGTTGTTTTTACAATGTACAGGACAGGACTGATTGCAAAAACTACCGTAAAATCCACTATCACATTCTGTAAAGAATTTAAATAAATATGCAGAAGACAGAAACTTGAGTCGATGTAGTCGATATTTATAATGAACTACATTATTATTCTCCAATAGCTTCCGATACCACACTTATAAAAACAAGCAAGAAGCCAATAAGGCCTGTTTCTCTCATTTGTTTTCAAATTTGATCTTCACAGTGGGTCATCGCAATCTGTTCAAATAGGCTTAATTTCATTTATATCTATATAATAGGTTTCATTATACAGATTTAATAACTGTACAGTACAATGTAGCTTTTATCACAAAAAAAGTAATATAAGCTTTCAAATGTTATTTAACTGTGATATTTCCAATATAACCACAAATTTCATCTGGGCGAAATAGCTAACTTATTTTGTTATGAAATCACCTTTACTCAACACTCAGACAGCGATACCCCACGTCATACCCTATGACAGATTTTCTATATCATCCGATCTGTCTTGTACATTAACGTGACATTTAGCCGAATTTTTACAATGCGATGTATTCCTCCGCACGTTTACTGCTTGCAATTAACAATCTGCATGATACATGTTCTGTTTTTGTCGTTATATGTAGTTTTGACGTTGTTAGATATTTGATGTTGTAGATACAATATAATCTGTGAAATACGTTGTTATCTATGTAAGGACGGACTACATTTTTATGCGGAAGCATTCAAATGTAGATTAAGTAGTAAAAGATGCGAGAGAAAAAATAAATTACCTGTAACTGAGCAAGATCGGGTTATCTAAGTATCGGGCTAAGATTCTGTAACATCCTTATCTCGGCTTACGCCTCGGTTGGGATTGTGTTACATAATCTTAACCCTCGACTGAGATAACCCGATCTCGCTCAGTTACAAGTAATAAATGCTATTAATCTCTCTTCGAATTAATCTCATTTCACTATGATCGCTGCTATTGCAGGTTTATATAACATTTAAGACATATTACATGATCAGTAAAACTCCGTTTACACCTAAATTAATTAGCTCAACTTCTTAACATTATCTATGGGGTTTTTCTCATATCACATTGCAAACAGGACAACGTCATAAACCACAGCAAACTTGTCAGCTTTTTATCCCATGTAATCTTTAGGACCAGGGGAGCTCACAAATGATTGATTGCCGCAACAAGACAAGGACTGATACTGAAGTGTCAAAACCAACGATATCTCATAGTTGTTTGGCAGCTTATGTCATTGTCATGTTATTGACTTTACTATGGAACTGTTTGTGTTTTCAAACCAATTATGCATGTATTGCTGTAACTTTTTTTAACTTTATAGAACATGTTGTTCATTGCTTTCAACCAGCATTTGATCATTGAAAAAGTCTGTAATGCAATTGTACAAACCCGCCTCCCTCATCATTTATTTAAATGATGATAATGATATATAACGGAATATAGTTGATTTAAATCAATCTGTTTCAATACCCCTGCATTTTATCCAATATAAAAAAAATACATTTGGAGACACAGCAGTCGGTAACCAATATAACGTAGAAGATAAAAAAGTGTTAAAGAAAAAAATTGCGATTGTCAAATGCGGCAAGACAATATAATACTTTTTTACGTTTCACATTATGCATGAACTTCTTCATATTCAGTATCAGAAAGCAGCGTCTTTAGTTTTGTGAATGAACATCAGTTTGTTTTATCTCTAACTTGAGGTATTTACAACGCCTACAATTTGTAATCGAGTGTATCGTAACTTTAAGTGTTAGAACCCCAGTGATGTCTTCAAAACATCATTGATCATAAACACTACTTACGTAAACAATGGCTGGTAGTTTTGTCACATGCGTTACTGCTACAGCCAACAGGACAAGGTGTACAGGCTAGTCCGTAGAATCCATCGTTACAGTCTAAAATAGTATCATTTATTATATGATTTATCCGGTTTTATTACGGATTTAAAAATTATACAATCAAAACTAAAAAAGTCTGTTTCAGAAATAAAATTGAAATATCAAAATGTAGAATATTGATTTCTTCATTTCTTTTATTTATATCCCAGCAGTCATTATAATGAACTTGTCACTTAAACTGCTTTATTAAATGAAGTTGCTCGGAATATTGACCATTATCTTTGTATTACAATACTATTAAATGATTACCTGTACACTTGCCAGTAGGGCAGTCAGTGCTCCTACAATTGAATGGACATCTACAGTATACGCCTGAAAAGCCAGTGGAGCAGCCGTCTGGAATGTACCAGTCCAAATGATCCCTTGTTGATAATAAACGGGTAATAGTTGCGCACTTAATATGAAATTGCTCTTCTTATTTTGGCGAATGCATTGTGTATTATTAATTACTAAATTAATTGCTTTCAAGATTACTCAGTACAACACGTAAAACAATTTTTTAATCATTACTGATTTCCCTTCAATTCGATCGAATCTTTTTAATTACCCTTCTCAATTCCTTGACTGAAGAGTAATAATATTTCATGATTTTTCAAGACTGCTTTCTAATTGTTTCGTCACCGACCTCGACATTACATTATACAGTTGTGGGATTGCACAACGTTACACGATGTGCGGTGTGCGCACGATGTGTGCACGGAGTGTGAACGATGTGTGCACGAAGTGCGAACGATAAAAAATTGGACGATCATTGCTTGCGCACATTTGTGAGGACGATCGACGAACGTTGTGCGATAACAATCGTGGTTGATGTAAATTGAGGAATGGCTAAACAATATATACGGTTTGGTGTTTAAACATATAAACTTGATTGTTTAGTATGTTATTTAGTATGAATACACTAATCTTTCTGTCTACACTTAAATTTAGAAATAGTGTGTTCGGTGTTTTTTAAACGACCTTAATCGACACATGTAACATTACAACACAGTCTCGGCAACAAAGGTAAACATAGCCACTTTCTACCTGAACCGTAGTTTTTCCCCGCCCGGGGCACTTACGTAACTCGCCAACGTGTGAAAACCAGGCGAAGGGGAGCTATAGATCAGAACGAATGCAAATAACAAATACTCAACGTCAAGTTGTGTATTCATAACGGTCATACGGTTACTCAGCAAATTGTTATTTCCCTGTTGTGTTACCTAGCTAGGAGCCAAATCCATTCTTGACAGTCTAACGGTCACTGTATACTGTGTTACACGCATTGTAAAAGTGTAGGTTATCTTTATTACTGTGATGAAAAATTACAGTAATATGAACAGTGTACATTATTGCATACGAGTTTTCCGGGGTTTTTTTTATTCCATAATATTGATCAACAAATTGTACCAAATCGTAAAGTTGTGCGGAGAGAAGCGCACAACGGGACGAACGATGGTTAAATCGCACAGTTGTGCGCAGAATTGGTGGACGATGTGCGGACTGTGTTTGAACGATGTATGCACGGTGTGCGCACGGTATTTTTGGTGCGTTGTGCGGTCACACACCTGTTCGTGCGCACTGACAGGTATAAATAACCTCATTCAACCTTGTTTCAAAGGCAGTGAATATATGGGGTCTCTGTAAAACATCATTCCAGAATAACCTAAATACGTTGTGAAGAAATAAGCAAAAACAATACCTTATTTAATACCGATCTGTTCCTTGCTAGTATTACACAAGAACAACCCAACCTAGCATACAGTTAACCACACATGGCCTCGGACCAATACCAGTCTAATAAAAGTTAAATCATTTCTTTAACACTGAAAACTAATTTATATGATTCTGGATTTTTTGTTGTTCTATCTAATTAAAAAATAGAAAATTAAAAACAAAAAAATGGAAAAAAAATAAACATAACAAAACCAATAAACATAACCGAAACTCAACAATAACAAAAACAAAATGAAAAATGTACTAATTGTGGTGAAGGAAAGAAACGATATTGTCGCTACAATGGGAACTTTTTTGGGTTATGCATGGAGTGTTTGCGATATCAATCACTCAAACACCCAGTATTGTTGCTTGTGATCATTATAGTGGGACATAAATATCAAAGATCCCCATCGGGAAGATGGGGAAATATCTTCCTTGCTGTGTAATAAATCATTTTATATTATCGTATAAATAAACATCATCTCTTATTATACGTGATCAACAAATATCTTTAACTTGAGAATGCCTCTTATAGCTAAATATATCTGAAATGCGTTGACTTCGATGCGACGTTTTGGCATCCCTTTCATTAAAGGTGTAACAAGGTTGTTTAAACTTAAGCAGACCATCAGGTTAGATAACCACATATCCGCGGAGCAGAGATTTCTCTGTAATACCAACCATAAAAGTAGGGGGTATTAATATTTCCCATATCATTTTAATACTATACTTAAAACAGTGATTTTCAACAATTTTAATTTTAATTTCTACTTACGAAAGCCGACTGTGACGTGAACGGAAACTTTAAAATACCTGTGCACTGACCGTTGTCCATGTTGCAAACATTATTTCTGCAGTTAAGAGGGCAGGGTTGATTACAGAAACCACCATAAAATCCAAAATCACAGTCTGAAAAGAAAACAAAATAAAAAACCAAAAGCAAAACTAAAATGTTATCCCTCAATGTGGAAATAACAAATACATTCTTTTGCAATAAGTTTGACTTTGTTTTTTCAGTAGGGTCAGTGATTATAATGAGATATAACAAGAAATTAATTATGATTCTTCCACAAACAAATCCCAACCTTTGGGATATGATAAGATGATTTCTGTGCTTCGGCCTGTCGTTTTGGTCCTTTTGCAATAAGTTTGACTTTTTTTCAGTATGATCAGTGATTATAAAGAGATATAACAAGAAATTAAACATGATTCTCCCACAAACAATGATTGGGATATGATTAGACGATTTCTGTGCTTCGGCCTTTCGTTTTGGTTCTTTAGCCAGACTACGAATACATCCAGGACCTCGCCCATTATTCCCCTTATTATAAAAAGATGCACCGATCTGAGTTTAAATATTGTTTCCATATAAACTGATACAAAAACAATGATGTAATGTAAATGTTGAAGAGCAGATAATCTCGATGACGATAGTAATCAAACTGCCCTGATAGTTGAGCACTTTAACCGCATAACAAATGTCAGATTTTTTTCAAACTTTGGCGTTGCAACTTAGGTAGAATGTTTAAAATGGACATGAGTATTATGTAGGAAATAAATGACAGAAGTAGACCATATAAAGTACTAAGCACTTCTGTATCCTGGTACTTTACTTCCCCAGTTGTAAAATGTCCTATATCAACAATTTGTAGTAACTACTCACATGTACAAGATCTCTTAGTAGAATAGATAGTTTGCAAGCGCTGTGTGCTTCTTCAGCAAACTGCACCATGAAATTGTAACAAACACCTCAGTACAACTGTTTGACTTTGCTCCCCGACAAGGTCCCCGAGACAAAAATAAAGTATGTGTATGCATGCGTCAGTATTGCTTACTGTCTGATAATTGTTGTTATTATACCTCTACTTTATTACTCTATATAAAAGTAATTGGTTAAATCGAATATATCCCCACTTTTGCCTGACTGTGTGTTAGTCAAGTGTGTGTTAGTCTGGGAACCAAAACACAGCTCCTGAACTAAAACACACCTACACCCGAGTTTTTCCGCCGAGCCAATCAGGCGAGAGGTGGGCGGAGCTTGTCACCGAAATCGGAACCGACGCATGAGGCGGGCGGAGCTTGCTACTGAACGCGCATCCTATTGTGCAGACAACACTTTCTCTTGTTTCTTCAATTATGGCGCTGTCAAGATTTTCGGAACTGGATGAAAGTGATCTTAAGACTCCCCTCGAGGAAAGGGACCGGACAGTACCAAAAAGACTAGTTGGGACGTGAAGCTATACAGCTTATGGTTTACAAATATTTTCTAGTTAAAACGATCTCTCCAGTGTGTATCGGTATAATAAAATGGTTAAAGTTTGGGGTTGAGGGATAAAACATGTTTCTGGTGTCCCTTGACCATGCCTATTTCCCTCGGCTTCGCCTCGGGAAATAGACCTGGTCTCAGGGGGCGAGGGGTAGCGCTATGTCGTACCTGAACATGCTCCAGTTGGACTGTCACATACATTTCCTTTACAATTAACCGGGCAGTGACTGCAATTCCCAACATCTTCATAGTATCCGGCAGCGCAATCGTCTGAAATCGTAATTTAATGAATTGCTACGGATACAAATGGGTTACCATGCGTATCTAACTTTCGTTGGTTTATTTTCTAATTGTATAAATACACAAAATCGACCGAGTGTCTTTTACAGTTTGGCAATTAACTAACGATAGTTAGATAGACATGATAATCAACTATAACGAGTATGGGGACCTTTATCTTTAACATCATTCAGAACTCATGTCTAAAAAAATCGTATGTTTCTCATGTGAATACATTATTCCTTTTCTGATCGGAAAAGACAATTGACATAAGCTTTGACGTCACAATGGAATATATGACGTCCCACTACTTTAACAATTACTCTAAGGTATCCGTTTTAATGTTTTATACAATAGGAACTATTCTTTGTAATTATATCGCTCTAATGATAACCAGTCATTACGTTTTCTTCATGTGCAGTTAGCCACGCCACATTCTATCTCACAGATGGACGGACACGGGCATATACTCAGATGGACCACGCCCAGCACTGAATGTTTGTGTATATGCTTGTAGATGTAGTGATGAAAACTAAGGAAGAATATTAAAAGGATGACGCAGGCATCAAAACCAAACTGTCATATTAGCAAACTATACAATTTGTGGTCGCTTGTTGTGTCAGGTTACAGTCTGGTGGACAGTTGGTTCATCAAAGTATGAACGTATCAAGAGCAATACAGACACTATAAGGTTGAACATTTACATGTTGTGAAATGTCTTTTGAATTCATTTTGATATGTATACCGTTGTGTATTTTATGTCTTACAAGGTTGTTTGCGCTATTATCGGATCCTAATACCAAAGTCCATATATATTATAGAAAAAATTATCTACATTGTACAAGGAGAATGTCGATATAATAGACTGAAATATATGACGATGAAGCAAATTTAATATACGATAATTTATTGACGAAGGTTTTTGATGGATTGAGTTTATAGATACAAATTAACTGTTAAATGCTATTCCCAACATTTTATAATTAAATATTATCCCATTTACTCTGAATGTAGAAGGTTTCCTCCGTCCTGTGTCCGTTGTGACCAAACTGAGAAATGTCTTCTGTTATGACATTTAAAGTACGAGTCTAAACCGTATAATTTGTTGTATACAGTGAAAACATTCAGGGTTCTGACAACAATACCTTCCAATACGCAACAGCTTTAATGTAGTACTAAATATTTGTCGTACTTTACATGTACCTTGGATCCTTAGCAACGTTGATTTTTAACGGCGATTTGACGGCACAACAAAGTGAAAAAGTGCCGTTTTATTTTCATAAACGGTGCGTCGCTGTTTGGTCGTGCGACAACGTTCCGTTTAAGAAAAGTAAATGGCGCTATTTTGCCTTTCCACGCAACAAGAAATGCGAAAGACAACTGTTGTGCAAAAAAGAACTGTATTTTTTTCGCTAGATCGTTTTTTCGCGTTACTTTGAAACCGAGAAAAGCGCAATTTATCCTCTCATGTATTTATACGTACCACATGTCCCCGATGTTGGGTTACATATCTTACCGAGGCAGTAAGTGCAGTCGTTATTGCAATTTCCATTTCCGTACTTCCCAACTGGACAACCTGAAGGAGGATTGAAATTTGACTGAGAGAGTTACAATTATTTATCGCATATACAATGTTATATACATATAATCTTAATGAACAAAGCAGGTGTAATGATACCTTTTAAGCGACTTAAACTATCAATACCAATGCAAAATGGTGTATCACTACAGGTGCGTTCCTAACATCTTTTTTTTACATTTTTATGCTTGAATGAAACTTATCGAAATGTCGCCTTAATTGTACAAGGTTGTATTTGGATAAAATGGTTATTAACTGAATGCTATTTCTTTCTTAAACAGGTCATTTTTAATTCATCAAAAGTCAAATACCTGCTGTATTTAAGCGTTATTTTTCCTTAATCATGATTTCATTATGTAACGCATACTTTGACACAATGGGAAACATGTTCCCAATGCATAATCTTGTTTGTTTGATATTGTTGGAATCCTGAACTTTTGATATTACCGGTTTAGAGATATCTTAAATCAATAATGTGTACACTTGTTGTCGTTTACAAAAAAAAGAAATGATAATGTTAAAACATACTAATTATGGAAATGAATAAATAAAAATAAAATAGATACTGGTAAATTCTTATCTAACATTCAACAATTAAAAATAAATCCGTTTTTAAAGATTGTATTACATTTTCAGTCAAGTTTGTAAATTAGTTAAAACCATGTCATATTTTAATAAGAATATCCATATTTCTGAACTGTCATATCTAATGCTAGCTCATCATCAACTCTCACTTCACACAGTTCCAGTATAGGATGATATGTTAGTGACATCCATAGTTTATCACTGTGATAGACATGTGTAAACTCACCATAAACTTGTACCTCACACAGTTCCAGTGTAGCATCATCCGAGTACCACGTTTTGGCTTTTTCTCGACGGTCATTGTAGATGGTCAGATACTGGGCGACACCTGGACATTGGGCATTCTGAATCGCAGACATGAACGCCTTGTCAGCAGTGGCGTCCTTGTGACACCTGTTTCCTAATGTCCAATCTTGTGTATTAGACAGGTATATCTCGTACCCGGCAAGTCGTTGTATTGTGTTCTCATCTACAAAAAAGATATACTATATACTGTAGTTCAGTTATTTAGTCAAGTTTTGACAATATACCTAAGATTCAGCTTCAAATGGTTTAAACGGATAACAAATCTGTGGCTAGATGCCATTACTAATTCCTTTATTGCTAGCTCTAGTGGTGTGTTTCTGGGAATATGAGCATTTTAAGAAATATATATGTACCACCTTTTGTTTCATGTTGTTCATCATTTTAAAGATATCTCAGTATGATTCAAAATTATGTATGAATCACGACAGTGAACCTTTAGTTAAAACAGGTATTAAAATCATTAAGCGGTACCCTTTAACCCTTATTTAAACAACTGACATTGAGGACCCTCTTGAAAGCAATCTCTCTTTCATATTATTTTATTTCAAATAATTCCCCTTTTGTGTCCTGCCTTTAAACACCTGGCGGACAACATTCTTCTTTTATGGACCACTTGATACCTCATGGACAACCAGGTTGAATAATGGGAACGAGGAGTACCCTTTTAAACATTTTAACACCGAAAAAAAACTCAGCTCCGAGGGCAGCTGAATTTCTCCTTTCTATAAGAATTGAATCAAGTTTCGTCACAGAGAGCATACTATTGTATAACGAATTTGATAAGAAATATGTTTACATTGCATATGTGTATACCCTCATGACAATAAAGCCTTGGATAAGATTCCGAGATACTCTCAAAGTTTGGGACCGTATCCCTTTGTTACTCCTTAAAACATGAGTATATTTGACTCTTAACGCTCATCAATTTATGTTTATATATATATATATTATAAAAAGAAAAATTCTCAACAACGAATCTTTAGTGCTTTCATCTTTTGTTAGGAGTGTTACATGTAACACAGGTAGAACAGGCATATTTCGAAATGCAGGCTAAATATTTGAAACTCAGAGGTTAACAAAACGTGTGATGAGAACATGAAAGCCAGAACTAAGTGTTAAACATTTCAATTCAAATCTCGCAGACGCCCCCATCATCCCATCCAACCACACGCACTGAGGTGAAGTGAAAAATGAAGTGATTATTGATTCAGAAAAAATAAAAAGATGTGTCGAAGGTAAAAAAAGTTACGTACGTAACCAATTTGATGGATGAGTAAGCAAAAATCAACGTATGTGCGTGTGAAAAATGCTAGAAAATAGTAACGAACAAAGGCCGCTTCTAGATATTCTCCAGCTTCATTTCACTACAAGCTGCGCGTTTTTTTATCATTTCTAAACCTGTAGACAGTTCAATTTAACCTGGTATATTTGTGAATATTTTTTTTTTCTTTTTATTTCTATTCGCCATTCGGTCAACGATAAACAATAAACACTTTCTTCATGCTTTTTGCGAGCTGCTTATTTTAATTAATCAAATCCGTAATATATCGACATCGCTCGTCAACACAAGAAATCAGAATTTTCAAATACTATTTCTCATCACTTTCGCGGTAAGTTCCGATAGGTTAAACAGATGTTTACTTACTTGTCCGCTAGCAAATCTGTAAATGCATATAAAATGATTGATGAAACCAATCCCATGACTCGCATGTTTATCGGTTCATTGAGGAGGAAGTTTTTGGAAGAGCGTTTGTCTGTTGGAAAATAATACATGCACGATCATGGTCTATCGTCCAATTATCCCCGGAAATCAAATGAAAAGTGTCGTAACATCGCAAACGCAAATGAAATTAAACCGAACTATTTAACATTCCTCCGATAAAAGCCTAAACAAATTGTCATCCAGAGACACTTACTTCTATAAATGATATTCACGATGTCTATAACGGACCGTGCCAGTAGATATACCTGCCACCAGGCCTCGGTCTGTCCTATTTTCGTGTGTGTACAGCAGTTGGACTCTTTGTGTTTACACATCCGTCTACGGCTTTAGAGCTGCCGAAGCTACCGTAGATGGAACTCTGATCTGAAGCTTTACTAAGGGCGATGTTTTCTGTAAGAAAGAAATCGAATAACATTTTAGGATCTTTTTGATATTTCATGATATTTTTTTAATTTTTAAAAATCCACTCGTCGCTTTGTTTGTATGTGTTGAGAAATCGTATCAAAGTTATGACGAAATAGTTAACTTGTTTGTAAAAAGCCAAGGTATTCACGCTTTATAAAAAAAAGAAAACAAAATAGTTTGGCATAAAAAAATATAAACACCTGCTATAGCTACCTTTTGTAGGCTTTTGCAGTTAGTGGCTTTAATTTCAAAAGCGAACGAGGCTACGAAAGCTGTATTTCTTATTATTAGTGTCATTATTCTTCCGTTGTCACTACCCTGGATCTCGCTTTGAAGATATGGCATTATTTGGATTTAACATTAATTTACATGGTAGGTGTTGTTATTATTCTTAATGTAATTGTTAAGGGTCTAAATGCATCTTTCTTTTGCTCACATTGTTCCTTTGATAGTTTATGTCGCCGTCATGGAGTTAAAGGTCGTAAAGTTATCGGGGAAAAACATATTGTATAACTTTTAGTGAATCGATTTTGACAAATTTGCATTCTGTGTCTGATATACAGTAATACCAATGTGTGATACCATCTTTGATCGCTTAATATTTGTACTTTTGCCTCTAACGACCATTTGATACGGATGAGATTTCTAACAAATCTATATGGGAAGGTCGTTAGTGGCACTGACGACCTTTGATAAAAAAAATGTTTATGAAATATGTATAATGAAAAAGACTGTAAGTATCACCAAGAAATTATTCTAACGATATATTTGAAATGTATGCTGTTGTGGAAAGTTTGGAAGCTTTCTAAAATAATATTAAAACATGGATTTCAATGTTTATTCGACTTTTTCGCAAGAATATAAAAGCAATGACAAGCAACATCAACAAGATAGTGACAATCTGCTTATTTAAATATAAAATATTTTTTCAGAGCTTTATACATTACATTGAAGCTGGCAAATTGTTTATTATCTTTACTTGTTTATTTATTAAAGATTTAATAACAAAGCCGTTTTGGTATCCCTCCCACCCCTCTGGACGTGTAAAACTAATGGGAATACATTTCAAATTAAATACATTTTCCAGACATTTTTTTCAAAATAAGGAGAGATTGCTTTATTACCAATTGGATTGATTTATCACACGAAATGGTTTCATAGTGGTTTATTGAAAGCAAGTTAAATTTCATTGTTGATTTTGAATCTTAACTAACAACTTTAACATAACTACAAAGATAACATGATTTAGCTTCCGACAGTATATAGTCTCGTCTCCATAACGCACAACTCCAGGAATAAACTTTTATTAAATCGCTTATGATACAGATACTGTCGCTCTCAATGCCATTGAATTTGAACGTGCAACAGAATATAAAGATAGCATTCAATATAAACAGCAAATTTGCATAATTAATTCAAACCTTTCAGTTAAAAACTCGAAAGCATATAACATCAAGGATAATATAACATATGCCCTTGTTTTCTTTGCTAAGCACTCATTCTCTTGTTACAGTTATAAGATAAGTTAAATTACCGAGCGACTCACACACGCATTAATAAATTTAATAAGCACGTTCAAAAGATTTAACCGTGAGGTCTTCAGTTTTGTTGATACATGATACTCTTGACTCTCCATCCTCTTCAGGAGAAGATATGCAAACTTAAACCTTTTGGTTAGTCATGTTAATTGACACAATATTGGGAAACGTCGAAAGGCGTACTGCTGTGTATATTAATGAACATCTTCAAGTTCAGGTTTCAGAAAATCGCTTGACATCACCTTAGCCAAAAACGTTAAACTCTAATTTTCTGCAATAACATAGACAATGCTACATGTATGACTTTAAGGGTAAAGGATCTCAATACTGAATATTAGAATCGTTGAGCTTAAGTCATATTGAATCTCCGTAAAATGTTATGTGTAGGAATAGTTCATATTCCCCCCTCCCAATTTAATCTTTTTAAGAAGGAAAAGGAATTTATATATATATGCGATATAGGCCAAGCAAGAGGGCCTGTGTCACCTACCTTGGTACCTGAACTATCAGCCACTTTGTTTTCATGAAATGCACTTAACTGTAAATACTTCCCACGTATGCATCCAGGGGGACAGCAATTCTCCTGTATACAACATTTGATTCCATGGTCCAAATGATGTATTGTTGAAATATTAACCACAAGAATGAGTTGGTTTTCAAATGCGTAAACAATCAAATAACTGTTTTGTAACAACCCCCAAGGAGAGTTACGTTCTTCTATTTAACAGTTTATTCAAGAGTCAACGGGACCAAAGATACTTAAAAGAACATTTAGTTTAAATCTGCATATACATAAAAGGTTAAAGGTAAGGGATTCAAACTCTTTCCAAGTTATGAACCAGAAACTTATTCTCCAGGTTGATTGTGTATATGGTTATAGGGTCAGAATCATACTTTTTTCGATGCTGTAATCCATGGAACTAAGTCAACCGATTATAAGTTTTTCTGTGACACATGTGGCAGTTATACCAGTTGGTCTGCCACATCTATGCAGTTTATTGCTTATTTATATTTCCGTAATGAGAATTTGCAAAAAATAATTTATGTCTTTTCCAAATTTCAAATTTCCCGCTTATAACCGTCAGGTCAATATCCAGAACGGCACAAAGATAACAGCTGACGTCACGCGCTATTTCCCATACAAAATTGAAAAGGCTCCGCAACTTTCGTTAATAATTCATTTGTTTTTAATTTATATATATATCATATTCTCAATTCATAAAATAGTAACAAATAACATTTTGTAAGTAACTAATCAAGTGTCGTAAAACATTTTCCAATTTAATTGCGACCTATATCCGGCGCACGCACTCAACGGAAGCCCGCAGTGATCAGGTCAAAGTTATATTTGCAGTCCGGCATGTTGTTGATGTTGATCGTGCAACCGGAGAAAGTTGAATCGATGAAAAATCCAGGCGCAAAAGTGTGTGTTGATCACACAGACACTTGATACAGGCAGCTGGTGTTCGGGATCAAATCAGAAGATACCGATAAGTTCGGTAGTGACACTGTTAAGTCGCTCGGAGGTGCAAAGACCAACTTCAGTTACAGTCTCATAAGATGAAGCTGCTATCGGCAGTACTTTGGTAGTAATATAGAAGGGCTTTGCCATACCAAATGTAAATATTCTTGTTTGCCCATTGGTCTGGAGGTAAAAGCTTCAGTGGTCTAATGATACTGCATTGCACAACAGCTGTAGGCGATGCAGTTATACTGCACATTTCATCAAGATATCTTTAATGGTTTAAAAGTGACAGTCCGAACAATATGTTCATGAAAACCCCGCACATATTTCACCTTTGACATTGTGGGTAAGGTCAACATGACCTAATGACAATGCACTGCACAGTGTCTATGGGTTATGCAAATTTCATCAAGATGTCTTTAACGGGTTGTCTCCCTTCATTAAAAGGGAAGATGTAATAGGTCATTATCTCTACAATTCTAACCTAATCGGTAGGTCTGTTCAAAAGGATATAACTAACCCTAGCCACTTTTACTTTTCAAGATTACGTTTGTCTATTACAATGTACCTTTCTGTTCGTTTGATGTCATTTCCTTTAACATGTTGTATCTACATTGTATGACCCTAATGACCTCTTTTGTGTTAGTGGTCCGTTTAGAATCAAATAATATTTGATGATCCAACGGACCATAAGCGGATTTATAACCTAAAGACACTCTCATACATAGAATTAAGATAGGAAAAATACCTTCTTAATGGCATTCACTAAATACTATAAACCTTATACCGGAACCATCGTTTAAACGTCCTCAAGGCCGTAAGTAACAGTTACGACGTGCTATTTATGCATAGTTTTAATTCGTTATTTGAATGACAAGGTCGTCATCTGCACTTGCGACGTTTTAATACACGGACTCAGTTACTTAAGATCTAGTATTTCTGAAAAAAAAGGCAGCATGGTCAGTTACAACCATGTTTTTATAAAATAACTTTTTAAGTAGTAACCCTACAACTGTACATGTACGCTGGTATAAAGATGAGGTTTAGTTATATACAATAAAATAAGAAGTATACAGTTGTCTCATACTTCATCACAGCCCGAGTTTCCTCTGGCCCTGATACCAGACTTAGACGTTTTGACGGATACATGTCAGGTGTTGGGCAAGAGCGCACTACTATATGGAAACGTGAAATCCTCCAACACCGTTTTGTGTCGGAATGTTTTGAGGTGCTGACACAACAAATACCTTAAATATATCGATTTATGGATTATTTATTGCTTATTTATTTATTGGGAGTGACTAATCAACATACCTAACTGATCTGGACCGTAAACAGGATATATCATTCTTGTTTAGAAGAATTCCGCATTTTTTTTGTCGATTAGTCACTCCCTTGACCTAAAAAGTGGCGTTTGCTCAGGTGGGAAATTTCGAACGATCATCAAATCTGTAAACTGTACAGTTTAATCAATAGAGACTCACAAACAACATTCTGTAGCACATCTCGGTTTCAAAGTCAATTCATGTCATATCTCGAAGTCAGCAACGGTCTGGCTGATTAGTACTTCTCCGCTGTGTATTGTATCAAATCAGCACGAAGTCATCAATTAGCAAATTTCAATTACCACTAGATAATCGTTCAAACAAATGATGTTTTGATCATGGAAAAATTATATCTCAAATTAAAACTATTTTAATCAAGAAAGCGAACTGTATTTACAAAAACAAACAAATTTAAGAGAAGAACAGTTAATTTTGATTTACGAGCTTAGATTTACTGTATGCTTACTTGTGATACATAACCGTACTTCCATTGTACATACTGATATACATTTCTTAGGTATGTACCTTGTAAACTCATAGTCAATATTGGCGTCACATATAATCATTGCCACCTTCTATCCATTGTAAGAGACATACTTAACCGTCCGGATAAACCTGCACGTGGTGGTCATTGTGTTATAGGTATGCCAGATGTACTCTGATAACTGGTTGAGTGTCGTACAAACACTTCATTGTATGTTTGTATTAATTAACGGACAGTGCAATTACAAATGATATACGTTGTACAGACATTTTAAAATGAAGAAATTGTCTATACAGTAAAAAAAACATGTCTGGTTGTGTTGAAACAGGCGATACAAATGCACAAATCAATTGATTGGAATTATAGTATGTCATATTGTAGTCAATACATTGTAAGCGCTATAGAAATATAACACGCTTACCTTATCAGCACCCCGTGCTATCTATATTAAGTAAATATATGTGGATTCCATTACTGCCCCGGATAGTTACACCGAATCATGCAAATATTCATTCCAAATTTAAATACAACTTGGGTTCAATGTTGTTACGAGTACACGCAGTTAAGTATGACTCTCACCTGATGCGTTAACCACCGTCAATGTTGTAATTACTGACCCGATGACCAGCAGGTACCGGTAAAATCCCATATCTGGTCGTGTACAGCGGTAAACGCCTTGACTAAAACCTCGTTTACCAACCAGGAAGTAGGAATACGATCACACAGGTATTCAGGGTGTTTACACCGACCTTGTTCAGAAACTAGATTCATGCTTTTCTTGTTTCGGCAAACACTATACAATGCAGTTTTGTATAGGGTGTCTATCTGAGTATTACGAAAGAGTATCGCACACTCTCAACAAAAAAATAGCGTTGATTGACATTTCATCTGCATACATGTAACTAGTGTAATTAAACGGATTATACATGCACTTTTTGAAAACATTTAACAGGCCAGCCTTGTTCGCATTATTGGCGGCTACCTCTGCATGTTTGATACCAACTTAAAGTCATATTGAAATGAATTTGAAATAAAGTTATGTCCCTTAAAAAATACCTTTTATTATACTATTATAAGTCTGTCGGTGTTATAATACCGGATGCTAAAACCAGTTAAAAGTGGTATGATGATGTTATCCCAGCCATGTACTATTTTGTTTCGACGACGACGACGACGACGACGACTACGACGACGACGACGACGACGACGACGACGACGATGATGATGATGATGATGATGATAGTTTTATTTCCCTATTTTGTCTGTATTAATTGATGTATGTATATATATATATGATGTGTGTTATAATTGTGTATCATTATGTATAATTCATACATACATTTAATTAATGTGTGTTATGAAACTTTATTATTATGTATCATTTATACTCACATTTAATTGCTATGTGTTATTATTGTGTATTATTACGTATTATTTATACATATATTTAAAAGATATGTGTTATTATTGTGTAACAATATTTACTATTAATACACACATTTCATTAATGTGTGTTATTATCGTGTATCATTATGGATAATTAATATAAACATTTAATCAATGAGTGCTAGTATTGTGTATTATTATGTAATATTAAAATATACATTTTATTGATGTGTGTTATCATGGTGGATATAGATGATCTGTCATTAGTTTCCCTTCATATTAGATTTATGATACAAGTTTTGGACTTTTCATGTTTGCGAGCCTCTGGGGAGCAAATATGAAAAATCCAAAACCAGTGAACGATGAAAATTACGTCCGCTTCAAAATGACGTGACGTCACATTGATTGTTCCTATTTGATTGTGACGTCATATTACACACGTTACATAAACATAATGTTTGTGATGGCTGACACTGCATAACACGGTATTCATAATCATGATCATATTATTCATATTTTTTCACATATTTATCTGATGTGCGCTATTATCGTGTATCATTATGCATTTTTAATAAAGAAATTTAACGCGTGTTATATTGTGTATGATAACTAATTATTATTACACACATTTAATGAATGTGTGGTATCAATGTGTATCATTATGCATTATTAATATATACATTTAAATACTGCGTATTATTATTGTGTATAATTATGTATCATTTATACACACATTTAATTAATGTGGGTTAACAAAAGGGTATTATGTATCAGTTATACTCATATTTAACTAATGTGTGCTATATTTGTGTATAATAATCAATTGTTAATACACACGTTTAAATATGTGTGTTTATAATGTGTATTATCATGTATTATTTATACAAACATTTAGCTAATGTGTGCTATTATTAGGTGATATTATGTACTATTAATACGCATATTTTATTAATGTGGGCTATTATTGTGTATTATTATGTATCATGTATACTCGCATTTACAATGTAACTGATGTGTGCTATTGTTGTATATTTTAATCTATTATTAATACACACGTTCATTTGGTGTTTGTTATTATTGTATATATTCATGTATTATTGATACACACAACTAAATAGTGATTGTATAGGACTGTTACTTGTTTAACATACCTGGACCCTTTAAAGGGACAATTAAGTCAGCATCGTCGGATACCCACGGTTGATTTCGCTTCGGTACTAACTCATCACCCGTGGGCAAACTCGCCGAAAAAACGTCGTGTGTAATTAATATGCGCGGATCATTTGATTGGTTCCAGTACAGTTTCTCGATGGAAACTCTAACCAATCAGAATTCGCGTTACGTATTCATGTTCGGAAACACCACAAAGATGGCCGACAACTTTTCGATTGTGCGTGAAAAACTACATTTGGATCAATTAAAGCCATTTCAATAGGAAACAATAACCCAGGTGTTGAAAGGTCGAGATTCCTTTTTGTCAATCAAAACAGGAGGAGGCAAAAGTATTTGCTATGAAGGTTTTTAGCCAATGTGGACGAAAATTAACGGATGCGAATGCAGTGTGCTTGTCGTTTCGCCGTTGATTTCTATCATGAAGGATCAGTGTGAATACCTTGTATCATGTAATTTTACAGCTACGTACGTTGGTAAAGATTGTAACGAAGACATAGACATTTTAAATGGTTGCTTCCAGTTTCTATTTGCCCCACCCGAATCCATTTTGTCAGTGAATAAGTGGAGGGACATGCTGGCCGCTAGTAATCACTTCAAACTGTTTGTTGTTGACGAGGCACATACTATATTGCATTGGTAAGTAAATTTTAATGTTTACACGCAGAAATCAAGAAATTCTGTCTGACCTAGTGATTTATTATAAATTAATAAATCAGGGCTTTTTAATAATATGTTTTTAATATGAAAAAGTGTAATAACGAAACAAAAATTATCGTATACTTCCTACTCAAACATATACCATTGATATTTGTGAATTTACAGGATGTGTTTTTCTTCACTAATGACAAGGGTCAATACGTATATTAAAAATATATTTCCGACCATAGCAATGTTCAATGTGAGCCTGTTTTTTTTACTTCAGGGGTGAAAGTGAAACAGAGATGGAGCCTTTCCGGATATGGTAAAGTAAGCTAGGTGAAATCAGATCCCTCATAGAATGCCCTGTCCTGTTGATAACTGCAACAGCTAACAGATCAGCAAGAAAGGAAATGCAGAAAATGTTTTGTATGGTGGACTGTCATGAAATTGTACAAAATCCAGATAGAGAAAAATATGTAAACTGTTTGTTCATAAATTTAAGAGTACTGTACCACTTTGTGATATTTTCTATTTTCTGATACATTTGTTAAAAACAGAAAGAGAACATTGTGATCGTTTTTTGATATTCTGTCCATCAATTAAGACATGCAGTGACTTATTTTCTACTCTAAGGATGGAATTGGGACATCTTATCATGTATGTTGACATGTTTGACTCACAAACACCAGAAGCTGTTAAAGATAAGATCAAAGAAGACATGAGTATTGAAAGTGAAAATATAAGAGTTTTAGTTGCTACAAGTGCAGCAGGAATGGGGGTCAATTTTAAATCTGTAAAACATGTTATCAACTTTGGACCTCCCAAAGATATGGATGGTTTGCCCAGCAGTTTGGTAGAGCAGGTCGTGATGGACAAGTTGCCATGTCCTTGTTACTTTTTAATGGCAAACAGTGTAGAAAATTGGATGATGATATGAAAATCTATGTTCAAAATAAAGAGACATGTCGTAGAGATATCATACTTTCTGCCTACAAATCTGAATCCAATCCTAATAGAGTGAAGCATGTGTGCTGTGACATTTGTGATGTCAAATGTGGTTGTAATGACAATGACTGTTCAAATTTTGCGCATCCATTTTTTAAATACAAGTTACCAGTGTTTTCCTCAGATTCTGACACTGATCATTCTGATGACATGTTTTCCGAAGAAGCTGAAAACTCTGATTAAATAAATGCATAATGCCATTATGACATCAATCATTTTTGTGCTTCATTTGAAAATATGTTTAATTAAGGACACAAGGCCATATGAAATCAAATAGCAGTTCTTCAGGGTTTTATTCAAATATGACAAAGGACTATTAATTACTGTAATTTTGCTGTCAGAAACAACAGATAAAATATTACAAAAAGTATGATGCATTTTAGCATACATGTATATATAGACCAAAATATATATGTTAGAAATATCTTTTCAACACTATATCTTAGATGAAAGTGTCTAATTTTCTACACATTAAAGGTAATTTTGGTAAACAATCCAAAAGTAGTTGGCATTTTCATCTACATTTAGTAAATTACTTTTCAGGTCACTCTGATGCATGACAGTGACTTCACATACAACTGTACCGACTGGTGTGATGAGCAGGAAATATGATCGTTGACCCTACCTTTTTAAATATTACACTTGAATAGTCAGATTCCAAATTTTAAGATAAAATCATCCCTGGGTATTCAAATAAGATTGAATAGACAAAGTATTTCTAATAAAAAATACTCGAGTGAATGTATATATACAGTACCAAGATACTTGTGCATTTGATTTTCCACATGAAATTTACATGTAGAGAACTTAACACAAATTTGGATTCCATTTATTACAGGTAAAAACTTGCAATTCTCTTTCGTGTGTTTATCCAGTCATGTATGTACGTACTACTAATGCGATTCAACGGCTCTTTGAATTTAGAGAAACTTTCCCATGTCAAATCTTTCACTTGTCCCTTTTGTCGCAGTTTTTGCACAATCATAACAACATCTTTGGTTTTGTCAACTGTTGGTCTTGCAACTCTTGATTTCACAGTTTTAGTTGTTTTCATTAACTGTTCTTTTATTCCATCTATAACTTGCGTTGTCATACAAATTTGTTTCGCGGATTTGAAAGATTTGTTTGCACCTTGTGTGTTTAGTTGCCTTTTGATGTTATTTACCAGTATTTCTACACAATTATCATTCGGAATATTGTTTTGAATTCCACCTTGTAAGTTTACAGTCATGTTCCACTTATACTCAAAGCTGTCTTTGGTATCGAGGATAGCAATAACAAGAAATCAGTCGCCAAAGCCAAAGTCTATATTTTATGTGTCTGACGGCAGAAGCATACAGACATTTCAAATAAGCTTTCCTTACAATCCTGTCACCATCACCCATTTTGAAGGCGTCGCATGAATCTCTTAGCAAGAAAGTCATGAGCAGAAAACTCTGAACAGGATTTAAATCTGCATCTTTGCTTTGAACACTATGAAATTTCCAGCTGTGCCTTTTCTCTAAATGATTCTTAAACAATCCAGACGTTATGTATGTTTTATCACAAAGGGAACATTCAAAAATTTCCCCATGTTTCATGGCTTCCAACTGGGAATCATTTTGCTGTAATGCCTGCAAGTCTTCACGCATTTGGGTTATTGTCTGAACATTGCAGAAACGTAAAGTATTAATAACTTTATTTGCGGCACCGAGGACCCAGTCTGTTTTGGCTTTATCATCCATCAAGGAAAACACTTGAGCATGTGATGGTGTAGAGTTGATTTCATCCATGTCCATTGCATCCAAGAATGCTGCCACAACATCGTCATCTGTAACATCGTCAATGAACTGATGACGGGGTCTAAAATGTAAAAGAATAAATTTAACACCTTATTAGATGGCTCTTATAAAAATAAATCTATGATCACTGTGACTCTCATTTTATAAAGGACGCCCATGTACATGCGACATTTGTTTTCAAAAATTTCTGAAGAAAAACACAAGGGCATACAAAATAAACTATTGAACTTTTTATTGTAAACTTACCAAACCATATGCCTTATTTTGAGGATTTGCATACATTGTACTTCTAAATTTTAAAATCACTATTGCTATCGGTACATTTATAATAATATTTCTTTAATAAAGTACCTGAATTTATTGATGACCTCATCAGGCCCTGAAACATCTCTTCTGTTGATAACATTACGAAACTGGTACAGAGTCCCAATATCTGAGGAGCTACTTTCTTTGTAGAAAAGTTGGTAAATACCCTGAAATGTAAAAGTGAAATTTTACAAGCTCCTGGTGATGGTTAAGTCTTATGGTCACAATTCTTGTTTAACCGTTAGCCAAATAAGAAGTCTTGAGTTTAAAAGAAGTTTGGCAATATTATTATGTTAGTTAAGGTGTTGCATGGACAAGTATTTCGCACAAAGGTGCATTACTCCATCAAAAAGGGTCGCAATCTCAAATTAAAATGCTGGTACACAATTACATAAGATACCGATCATTCATGCAAAGTTTCAACGAAATCCATCTGTTAGTTAAGGAGGAGTTCTCTGGACAAGTTACTGTGGACGACACTCAGACAGGGTGATTACAGTATACCCCACCCCCCACCCCCCTAACTTCGTTGCAGGGGAATAACAACAGAGAGAAAGACAGGCCGAATAATCCCTCATCGTGGCATAAAATTCATGCATGCAAAATAGTGTTTCTCAGTTTCATAGGTTTCTATTTTTCATGCTGCTTACTCATTTTTTTTTGGTCGAAGCTATATGGTTATTTACATATTACCCAAACATTTCAATATACGTGTTGTAAATCTATTTTGTTTACAATAGCAACTGACAATGGATTCAAATTATAAATACTTGCTCCAATTACCTTAAATCATAAAACTGAGAAATATCATCAAAACACAATTTCAAAAAAAGGAGCTACAAGTAGGTTCACAAAATGCACAAGGCACTGTAAAATAACATTTCAACTCCAATTAGCTATACATTGTCTATTGACATACTACTTGTAATGAATTAACAAGGCAAAGTATATGTATTGCAAATCAATCCACATTCCCAAATAGTAATGATTTCCATATTTTACAAAAAGTACACTTATGTCAGGATGAACCTACTGTTAGGATTTTTAGTTACCTGATACATACTTCTTGCATTCTATAGATGTCCTTGCAATTGAACGCCAAATCTAGTTACTCAAGGTGAAATAGTATAGAAGATATGCCCCGAACCAGTGAGAGACTTAATTATATTGACAATTTAATGATGGACAGAGTTTTTAGATGCTGCTACGTATACTTGATACGTATATTATGCAACATTGAAAATTAAAAAACATAAAATTCATGCATGCAAAATAGTGTTTCTCAGTTTCATAGGTTTCTGTTTTTCATGCTGCTTATTCATTTTATGTTAATTTTGTCAATGCTATATGGTTAGTTACATATTTTCCAATAACCTCAAAACTTATATCATAAAACTGAGAAATATCATAAAAACACAATTTCAAATAAAAGAAAGAGCTAGGTTCACAAAATGCATATGAAAAGGCACATGTCAATTTATTTCGAATTTCCTACATCAATATCAATATGAATAAACTTCATCTGTTTTTCAAAGATACCAATGTTTTCCTCTTTCGAGTTGATGCATAGAAATAAACTTTTGTAAGATTGGTGGTTTGTAAAAACAAGGGTGTTAATTTATAAACATTCAAAGAGTTTTTTTTTATATAAGCAAAGACCTCAATCCGAATACTCTGATTTAAAAATACAACCATACAACTGATCATTGCATAGTTTTAAAATATAGATTGAGGAGTACCGTATACTGTTTTAAAAATATTGACTTAAAATATTACCATTTCTTATCAATTTTTCCATGGCCAAAATAGGAAATTAATTTCCCTGTGTAATCCCTCTATGAATTATACCACCAAGACTCAAATTTAGATGGGTTATTCTGCATGGCTTCTTGAGCTAAAAAACGCTCGTTCATTGGTCAGTACATCACCTCCGAAAACAGTTCTTTCAGATATTTCCCCCTGAACGTGTGGAACTGGTAGGTTGTGAACTCTTTGCCGAATTGTGATCATACCTAAATAACAACCAATAAGGTATATGAACTGGTAGGTTTTCACAATAATGTCAAGTGAATTTTGATAACATGCAACGTTTGAACAAAAAATAATCCTTGCATAAAAAAATATATCATTTAAAAAAATATCGATTAAGTGTGATCTTATGCTGAAGACATACATTGCTTGTTTCTGAATCATCCACGCTGACACCCCTGTACTAGTTTTTAGAAGAAACTCATTTCTGATTAATTCTCAGTTATATAAAGAATAGTCATCTAATGCTGTTTCATGAAAAATAGACATTCCAGTCACCCGGTGTACATTTCAAGACTGACCAAAGTGTATTTACCCTTCAAATATGCTTTTATATTGGTAGGTAAAATATTTCTAATATTTTTTTTGTATTGAGAAAACGCGTTCTTCGAGGGAGACGTATAATGTATATGTAACGTTACAGTGAGATGATCCTTTAAGTACAAATATGTAACTTTATAGTAAGAAGATCTCAAGCGAGATCCTTTTACGAACTTTAGAGAGTTTCACAAATAAATCAGATAAAACTAGTACAGGGGTGTCAGCGTTTCAGTTGACAAACGGAATGGAATGAAAACGCAATGAAAACGCAACGAGACGAAACGGAACGGAACGAAAATAATTTCACTGTTTGGAACATAACGCGAATAGAACGGAACGAAACATGTTTTGCTCACAGGAACGGAATGGATTGAAAGTAGGTGGAACGAAACGCGAGGAATGATTGAAAACGAAAAGGAATAAAATTATCTGAGAAGATAACTATTTTAATCGAGATTTCCTATCTATAGCGGTTAGTTACGATAAATTAGCAGTAGATAATAATGTTTAGTAAATAAATACAAATTTGGATATTTGTTTATCTAGTATACGTATTTATTCCATATTATAGGTTTCTAGCCGATATCAGAGACGCATAATTAATCGATTGTTTGTGAATTGTTTCGCCGAATGATCTGTCCGTTGTTGAAATAATATATGATGAACGTACTTTCACTTGAGGGTTTCACAAAGCATCCAATACATATTAGGGTTGTACATATTACTTTAATGAATTCGGTGCATGGCCAAGATTTTCATTTATCATTAATATTGTATGAACCAACTAACAATACTCCGAGACGGACGATGTCCGGGGCCCAGGATCATGTAACAGACTTGTAAATCTAAATCTGGACTTAAGTCCGAAGTTTCTTTTACTTAAGTCTAAAACAGACTTAGCTTGGGGATCATGAACAAAAACGGGCAGACTTTAGTCTGAATTTGATGCCCGTCTGCTCCATTGAGAGAAAGGATAAGACATTTCGTCCCGAGTATTTCTAGACCATTTACTTTTAAAACCCTCCAATTAATTCAGGACGAATGGATAGTTTTACAAACGTGCTGAAATGTTAATCTTGTGTCTCATTTTATTTTAGACGTGTACCTCCCTATCAAAAAACAAACCTAATAGACCTACTGCAAACAGACGTTCGCTTTCAACCATTCCGGTGTTGTAAACGGTACCGTAATAAAACTAATAAACGCTCTCGAAATGTTTTCCTTCTAGCCTAAATAATTCTTTATTTTAATAATCACACATTTCTTAGAGAATTATTACCTTCTAGCTGTTTTTTTTATCAAGTTGTATTATTACACAAGAAAAAAAGTGATAGGCTCTAAATATTTAACCAGAATTTGCAATATATATATTTTTTGAATATAGTCAGTCAGCATGTCCTGGCAGGATTAAGATTAATGAAAGAATTGTAAGACATTCAGCTTTACAATATTTGAGGAAACTGATCAACCTTGTCTGGCCTTCAGCTTTTATGAATATTTTCTTGTCTATGGACTTAAAACAAATCTGATGTGTTGATTAATAATAGAAAATATTCCCCTACCTGGAGGGTGAGGCACAGAAATCTCCAACCAAATAAATGATTATTTTTAGTTGTCAAACTGTTACTAAGACAACCAAATAATCACACCAAGGACCTAACCTTACTCCATGTCAATATTACATGCCTCGGCAAGCTTGCTCAAAAGGCGTACATGTCCTAATTCTTGGAGATCATCGGGAGATTTTAAAAGTTATTATTATTTATCCCAATACTTATATAGGGATGGTTTGCTAGCAACATAATTATATCAACATTTGAAAAATAAATCAATTGATCTGTTACAGTTCTAATTAAAAAAATACACACATCTTATTATTGTTACTGTAATAAGAAGAATACCAAAATAAGCAGCCAAGTTTCAATCCAAGAATGATTTGACCAAGACTTTTGAAAGGGATTTTGGAAAGATATCAGGTGTTATAGTAAAAGGCACTGAAGGAATGACACTCAACAAGAAAATGAAACTGTTGCTAATGTCGACTTAATAGTGTGAATCAATTGACAGTGTCATAAAAACATATGGTACAAAGAATTTCCACAACTCCTCAACATATTTTGCTTCTTTATCTCAATAGAGATAATTCATTTATTTTGAAAAAGAAAAAACTCGTATCAGCTCATTGTCTTTTTGATAAAAATGAATATCAATAACTGCAGTTAGATAAACATGATAAACAATGTGGTACTCTTTAATTGAATAGAATTTACATAATTTGATAGGATAATTCAACATTTTATTGGTCATAACAAGCAGAACATGGCACTATGTAATACATGTTCATTACAACTGAACATCATCATGGAATTACTCAAAAAAAGAAATCACAATGCATTTCAAACACATTTTCAGTACATTTTAATAATACATGTTATGATATTGGTATACAGGTAATCAGTTTTTTATTAGTTTTTTTCAAAATATTCCCCAACAAATGATTGGCCAGAAGTTCATCATGTGTCCACCGATAAAAACTGATATCGACTTGGAGCGGCTGATTTTTGTTGAAGGACTGGGTGTTTCTAAACATAGAACTGTGACGTATCTCCAAATGAACGCACTGCATCCTTGGTTAATATATCTTTTCTCAGGTCTAAAAATCTAGGGGTCGACTTCAACCAAAAGCTATAATTGAATAGTATCTAATGTAGGTTTCCTTTACTATAAAAAATAAAATTATGGCTTAGAGTTAGAGTCTGTAGCAACTAAAAACAAATGTGATATCCTTATGGTATGAAAAAAAAAAATAGAATCTTTGTGCGAGGACTTGAACATTTTGTTTTGATTTGAACTAAGATGATTTGTAATAGCCATTTATTCACTTCAAACACATCATATTGAGTTAAACCTTTAACCTACATCACAAAATGTCATGAACTTCAGTCAGAATCTTTTATTTCTTAGAAGTCAATTAAATGTTTTAACATATTTAAACATATGATCCTAAAAATGGGTCAAGATCAATCATTTGAATGAACTAGACAGCCCGTTATGGACAGCCCAGTTTTATAGCATGTGAGTGCCTAAATGCAATCATCCTAGGTTTCTTGATTATTCAGAAGATGATTAACAATTTTAACATATTGTCACTCTTAAATTAAGTCAAGGTCATTCAAGTTCATTTGAATATATTTTATAACCCTTCATCCCAGTATGTTACTGGCTAAATATCATCCCCTTAATATTTCTTTGATATTCAGAAATTGTCATTTATTTTAAAAGATTTTACACATTTGACATGTGACCTTGAAGGCTAGTCATTGTCATTCAATTCCACATACATCATATCCCTCATTTCAGCATGTTAAATACTTAATATCCCCACCCTAGGCCTCCTGTTTTTTGCAACTTTGAATCTATGTCAAGGTCATTCATGTCAACATTTTACCACCAACATATCAAGATCCTCGGCCGTTTGGTTATTCAGAAGTAGTTATTTAAAGTACAATGTTGACACCAGACAGATGGATAACAGAGTACACTTTGGTCAGTCTTGAAATGTACACTGGGTGACTGGAATGACAACATATCTATGAACAATATATATCTATTTTTCATGAAACAGCATTTGATGACTATTCTTTATATAACTGAGAATTAATTAGAAATAAGTTTCTTCTAAATACTAGTAAACTTCACAAGGACTAGGGCTATTTAAGTCTACAGCATCTAAAACGATTTAAAACTGTCGTAGATTGACAAACATGGGATGTAGTATGATATCATGATAGTAAATGTTAACATATCAACTGATTGCCTGTGTCAACACGCGTCATTGAGTCAGTGTCATGTAGATTATCCCGGAATTGACAAGCTGCCCATTTGTAAACTCCATGATTGTATCAAAAGATCAGATATGTTATGCTTACCTAGCTAGATTTAGTTGAATATCACCTTGTCAAAAGACAGTCATATCGTTTATAAAATCATTACAAGCATTATATCAACATAGGAATCTAATAATGAGTTCGAATATTGAATTTTCACCGCAACGTTTCTCTTACGTAGGCAACACCTACCTGTATACCTGTATACGATCAAACTTTGCAAAGAAGCATGACGTTGAAAAAACAGTTACGCTGAGTACGGCATCATAAAGTATTATGACGTTATTTTTTATCTACAGTCAAAGCAGTGATATACGTTGAGTCTTTTGAATCAAAAGATCATAGATAAACATGAGTAGATTCGTTATCCTACCAGTAGACATCTATATGGTATTGAAAAAAGTGAATTTCTTTCATTTATTTTTGAAAAAAAGGCTTCAGGTACATGAGTTGATGTGTTTGATCAGTAATATGATGAATTTTTTTTTATATCGTACGCATTTGTCTTCTCTGCAAAGTGAGTATTTTCATGGTTTCTTCCATATGCTTGTATTCATTTCTTGTCTACAAAATAATCGTGTTTGTGGTTTCGTGAACATGTGTAAGTTTTCTCTTTAGAGGGTCCAGTAGGTTATAATTTGCATTCATTGTGTTCGTCCGGATAAGGTGTTTCATGAGACGGGTGTAACAGGATGAGGATATTGTCAACTCTAGTGAAGGGATATGAACACAACACACGGTATTTACATTATTTACATTATTTACAATTTTTCATATTAACACATATTAAGAACAAAAAGTATATTATATCCAATCTCACATGCATACAATTGACATAATAAATATACAAGAGAAAAAGCAATCGTACATTATATCAATGACAGCTATCCATCTATGAATACAATGTCTTTGCAATCCAATCTACACAGATAGGTAGTTATCCACCTTAACGGAACCGCAGAACCAAATGATTTTCCATAGACTATAGTGTTAACGTTTACTAATGTTCTGGTTAAATGCGGTTATCCACACTAGTTCACCTGCTCTCATTTTGAAGGATGTCATCTCACACACCTTTTAAAAAAGAGGTTAAAAAAAATCTATCATTTGAACTTTTTTTTTATTTAGGGGCGCCGCCATTTTGTATTGAATTCGGCACCAAAAGTTGATCAAAACTAACATCAAATTACACACTTAATAAACTCCTCCAGAGAAAAACAGTCTTGAACATTTTTTTATACATTTCACATTTATATATATTGCTCAACTCACACATAAAACTTTTGAAACCTTTGCCAACTAAATATCCAGCCAGCAGGCCCCGAGGCATTCACCTTCCTATTAAATCGTCTGCCCAAAAGGGAAAAACCCACAATCTATTTTTGATTTTGTTCCGTGGTCCCTAGAGTGGTCTACTTTTTTTCAAGTAACAGTCTATTTACTTAGCACGTAGGCACCGCTTCCGGTCACCACAATATATATAGTCAGGATAAACGGGATAGAACCTTCCTTTCCCGTAAGTGTTGGTCGGGTTCCTTACTAACAGTTACGGCCTACCAAACTACTTACATTTGTGTAGCTAATGTCATCTTCCCCAAGAAATACCTTGGTATCCACATATGGTATCAAGCCTTTAGTGCAGACTGGCATGTCAATAACTACAATAAGATACAAATAACTAATTAAATAATGTTACTATGCTTTCCTTTATTATTTACAACAATGAAAGTGTTTTTAATGTATATGTGAAAATTAAAATCTTAACTATAAACTGGAGATAAGTACGGTATACGACACCTTAATACATTATCACGTGCGTTCCTTCTAATTAACGAATAACAACTACCGTCTATAAAACATGTATTCACTATATACACAATATCAAACGAAAGTGAAGTAGTGCCGTAGGGTTTCCTATAACCTGTGTACTGTTGTATAAATCACTTTATAAACACACACAATACAATGAGAACATCTGTATTTACCAAAAACACAAAGGTATAACTATATGAAATGTCGCTGTTTATCCACAAAGCATGTTCAAAACAATTACAAACATGATATCTAAATGTGTTGATGGGTACGGTACTCACCGCAAGCTCTAGTTTGCGTTCAAGTATCGCATATGTCATACAGTTTCAGCATAGTGTTTACACCTCACGTGCTGACTTGGCGTTGCTTTAAACCCGCTCTCCCGCACATCAGATCCATGCACAATCAGTCTAAATGTGCCAAATAAGAATATCTTTATGCGTACCACAATGATATGTAACGACGGGCTCCTATGTTATCGTTTATAACATCTTTGAAATCTTTACTTGGGCCCTCTTCAGGCACCCAGTGATACATACATACATCCCATAGAATAGTAAATTGATTTATTAATATTTCAATGGAATTTAATAAGACGGAATGAAGAAATATGAAGGATAAAAATAAGCGACAATGAATTTTAAGTTAAACATAGCTTATTTTTAAAGGTATATACAGTGTATAGTGTGAAAATGTTTTGAATATATAAACATTGCATATTATTAAAAGGGAACATTCACCATGGTATTTGAATTACTGCATAACAGGAATAAGAAGATTGGTATAAATAATAACATAATTCGAATTCATCACAATCATGCCTATGACATTATAACGAAGAAGAACGTTTTACTGAATTGACCTTCTGGGTTTACCTACCTTTAAGATGGCCATCTGTTTGTTCGCATTTTCCGCTCAATTGGCAGGTAAGGTCACACGCTAGTCTCGACCTTCCAGCTTCTAGGGGTGCATGACGAAGCAAACAAACAAATGTTTACGCATACAAATATACTGTTCTTCCTTACAAAGCTGATGGTATATATAAGCTTATTTTTTGATTATATAATTACATCAATATCATATGAACATCAATTACGGAGTTGTATATTGATAAAGTGATATGTTTAAAGGTGAAGATAAAGATATGAAGTAGGGTAATGATATAAATAAACTAAGACATCGATAATTTACAGAAGAATACTACATATATATAAAATGAATCATAAGTGACGGTAAATAGCGTTTCTTTTAAAAGAAGTTCTCCTCCAATGGGTGTTTGTAACAAACGTTTGAGTATACATTCTTCTCTATCTTGATGTACATTTTCAATAATCATTATGATCAAACCCTGCAAAGATAAGATACACAGATTATAGTAAAATGTGATCAAGTAAATACTGTTTAACATGTAGAGACCAGAAAAGTTTCACTTTACCAAATATTTTAATTACTTAAAAAGTCAGTCATCATTTACAAAATAATAAAGTGTACAACTCATTATAAATTGAGATCACAATCCATTACGTAAATTTATGTTTCGATGAAACCTATGCCTACACAATATACGATTACAAAAGTGTAACCACGGTTGTGTATTCGCACAACTCATAAATAACACCAGCCGTACATTGCGCCCAAATATGCACAGAGAGCGATGGGGCCCACCAATATTGCAGATCCAAACAAAGCAGGAAAGCACGTGTGCAATTAAATATATTGCAGGTATTTAATTCTTGATCAGAATATTTTCATTATATTAAATTTGACATTACATATTACAAAGTATTAAAATTACCAGTTTTACCTGACTCTGTATATTCAATAAAATAAGTGTGCAGATCAAGAACTGTAAATAAATAAAATAAATAAAATAAATGCTTAAACAATAAATAACTTGGATATTATTCTAGAAAAAAATATGTCGATTCTCAAAAAGATGAGTTCAACTAGTTAGTTATTGATTTAACTCGTACAATGTAAATTTCAGCAAGAATTATGATCCTTACCATCACGTTTTAAAAATTATAATGATACATACCGAATATTTCAATTTCTCCAGTATCTTATTCCAATGGTTTACACGTCCACTTAACGTCATTGTGTCGTGCAGAATCAGTAGTGTTGGTGTCATATACACACAAAGACTACTGACCAATAAAACCAAGAGGATACACTAGCATACACACTTTTATACCTGCTTGCACCACCACAGGTAGCGGACATCACGTGACATGGACACTACAGGTAACATACAACACGTGACGTGAACAATTTATATTAAGAACATCACGTGACATAGACAATACAGGTAACGTACATTATACATATAATATTTACAATACGGACGAACTTATAAGAACGCATAACGTTATAGTATACAGTTGCTGAAATAAACAAGTTAAATTGTAAATTCCTTGTTATATGTTTAAACAACTAGAGCAGAATTCGAGTCAAATATTTATGAAATTTCCATTTACATTCAATGTAAAAAAAAATAAGCTTATAAAACAAGAAACAAATAACTATACCATTGCACTCTCCGGTGTTTCTTTCACACTTGCCTTGACAGCTGACAGGACAGGTCTGAGTGCAGTTGGGGCCATACACACCAGGAACACATTCTGTAAACAGTCATTTACCTTCAATGCATCAGCGATTGAGTTTGATAAGCATGTCCTTATTATGACAAACAAATGTTGAACATTTCTTGGCGATTTTTTTTTAAACGGAGTCATTTTAAGACGGGGAGAGCGGGCAGGGGGATGGCAATTGCGTAAAATCATTACTCACTTTATATTGCTTTCAGATTTCGGAAACACTAATTCTTGCTCTTACCATTCTCGATGAAGTTAAGTTTATAATGTACCTGTGCAATGACCGTTGTCCTTGATACACACGTTGTTTATACAGCTACTAGGGCAAGCCTGATCACAGAAACCGCTATAGAATCCAACCTCACATTCTGAAAATATCGGTTAATATGTCTTCCAATTTATCAATAAAAATTACCAATTGACTATAACATATACTGCCATCATTACATGAAGATGTGTTGCGGACGATCTGAAAAATTCATGTTTTAATTCTATATTTTACCTTCGCGAGGACTTATTTATTTATTATCTACTATGTATATATATATAGTAGATAATAAATAAATAAGTCCTTGCGAAGGAAAATATAGAATAAAAACAATTTTTTCAGATCGTCCGCTAGGCCTTTCTGCCTTCTAGGGCTTCTTCACCAATCAACATTAAAATGTTAAATTTAACCCCCACCACCTCCCCCCCCCCACCAACTTTTTTGCACATTATATATATATATAATGTAAAAAGAAAAATTCTCAACAACGAGTCTTAAATACTTTCATCTCTTCTAGGAGAGGTGAAAGTACTTAAGACTCGTTATTGAGAATTTTCATTTTACATTATTTCTTCGTCCGTAAGGATATTTTTCTGCTTTTATAATATATATAAAATAAAATAAAAGACAAAAGTTTCTTCGACTTCCCCTGTGCATTCTCCTCTTAAGAGGTTCATCAGGGGAATGATATATATATGATAAATCAATCAAAGGGCACGGCTCTTATAAGTATTCTTAGATATACAATTGTACCACGGAAGTGAACGATCGTGAAAATAAAAAAAAACGTGTATCTTTAAACTTGAAAGACACTTGACAGTTACTGCCATCATTACATGAAGATGTGAAAATATATATACGACTGAAATCCTCTAAGTCACGAAGCAATCATCATAAATGAATCTTAATTTGGAATTAAAATTATCCGTTAGCTATTGTGTCTCTTTTCGAATCCATCTAAAACTGTAACATGCTAATAAAGTACAATACATTCACATTGTCCATTAAACTGGTTGCATGTGTTGTCTTTACATGTGGTAGGACATCTGTGTTGGCACGTGCTTCCGTGAAATCCTTGTTCACATCCTGCAAGTGGCACCAATGTGATTAACACCTCACATACAAGTTCGGGAATGAATTACATTGGACAAAGTTAAGACTTCTTGCTATGAAGTTCTAGTCTAGCTAAATTTAGTTTTGATGATTTTGTAAATCACATATTTATGGTTTGGCCTGGTTAGATAGGTTTTTTTCAAACGTAGTGGTAGGGTGGCTGTTCTGTTTAAGAAAGGCCTAACTGTGAGACATCTCTATTTCAGCCATGATGATGTATACACACACTTTGAGCACAGGACTTGTTCTCTCATCGCTGATGATAAACGATTTAGATTGTGTATCATTTACAGGCTCTTCCATCTAAACAAATATTTTCCCGAAATACTGTGAGTGGTCTACCTTTTTGGGCGACCAAGTTGTTGTAAAACAAGAGATTATTATCACGGGTGACATGAATGAATTTCCACTTAGACGATCTATCTAATGTTGATGTACGCCAGTTATCTGGGCTACTAGATCCAAGGGGTCTGATTCAGCATGTGACAGAAGCTACACACACCCATGGCCACACAATGCATGTGGCCATAACAAGGGAAAATAACTCAGTCATTCATGGAGCAATTTCAGTGATTGATCCATGTCTAAGTGATGTAAAGGGGAGTCAATCTGGTGATCATCTTACTGTTCACGCAAGACTGAAATGTAGTACATTTGTAAGCAAGATAGTGCAAGGAAAGAAGTGAGCTGCCGGAAATTCCGCGAAATTTCAATACCAAATTTCAACAATGACATTCAGTCTTCTTCCGCCCTTCAATCTACTGAAGTCGGGGTTGATGATCTTGTTGAAGCATACACATCTGGTATAGAAACCCTTAAAGAGAAACACGCACCAGTACAGACTAATCTGATAACTATGAGACCGATGCCCCGTGGTATAATGAAAATAGTTTTTAAGGGAACAATGTCGGCTAGTGGGTTCATTTCTCATTCAGTCAAAGAAGGCTTATTATTCGGAAAGAATCGAAGAATGTGGTAAGGACCATAGACAGCTTTTCAGACTCATCAAAAACCTAAGGGGCCATTGACAAAGCTCTTACCAACAACCCAGAACGAATTGCGCAATATCATCATGGCCTCGCAATCGAAGTCCAGATAGCACATGCTAGACCATTGTTGAAGAAGCCTGGAATGGACAAGGAGGAGTTGAAAAACTTCTGCCCAGTATCAAATCTGCCTTTTCTGTCTAAGATGTTGGAGAAGTTTGTGTCCCGGCGTTTAGAGGTTCCATGACAACGTGTACATAATGATATAGCTTCTGCATTGGATAACAGCGAAAATATTGCCTGTACTCCAAACCGATCGGAGAGATTTGTCGTCGCCTTAGCCTTCGCTATCATTGCTATGCTGATGACACACAAATTTACAGGGTAATTAAACCGCAGGACAGTTGGGATACAATTTCAGAAAATCTTGAAGCTTGTCTGACCGATATCATTGCCTGGATGAACTCCAACATGCTGAAGCTAAATTCGGAAAAGACGGAACTAACGTGTCAGCAAACAATGGCTCTCCAGCTCAAGGTCAGAGTCAGAACTATTGAGACTGTCCCAGCTGTTAAAAACCTAGGGGTATACTTTGATAGTTCACTGAACAAGTAGAAACAAGTGAACGCTAATGCCAAATCCTGTTACTACCAGATCAGGAACATCGGCTGTATCCGGCAGTTTATAACTGCAGATGCATGAAGGATTTTGGTGCATTCACGTGTTACCTCTCGGTTGGATTATGGTAACGCCCTGCTCTGTGGTATATCTGACAAACTAACTAGTCGTCTGCAAAGGGTCCAGAACACTGCAGCACGGCTGGGTACTCGTGCTCGAAAGAGGGAGCACATCACACATGTGCTATATTCATTGCACTGGTCACCTGTACGATACAGGTCGCAGTAAAAATGTTGGTGTACAAATACAAGACACTGAAAGGAACAACTTCCCACTACCTACAGGAACATGTTACCCTTTATCAACCGTAACGATCACTGCGGTCGGAGTCAGAATCATTGTTGTGTAACAAAATCTCGTACTGCGACTTATGGAAACCGGTGCTTTGTGAGGGTTTCGGCCACGTTGTGAAATAGCTTATCTGCTATTAGAACGTAAAATACCCAGGCCAAATTCAAAAAGGACATAAACAATCACCTGTTCACATCTGCATTTTAGGCTCATTGCAAAGACGTAATGTACATACCACACTTTATTTATTCATGTATGTATGGTGGCTGATATATGACATTTCGTCTTTGTCGCCCGCGAAATACCGCCAAGCGAAATAACGAAATAACGAAATAACGCCAAAGCGCCAAAGCGAAAAGACGAAATAACGCCAAAGCGCCAAAGCTAAATAGCAAATAACGCCAAAGCGCCAAAGCGAAATAACGAAATAACGCCAAACCGAAGTGAAAATAACGCCAAAGCGAAGAGATAAAATGGCTTCTTTTCTCCCTCCTTTTGGCGTTATTTCGTTATTTAGTTTTGGCGCTTTGGCGTCTTTTCGTCTTTTCGCTTTGGCGTTACTTCGTCTTTTCGCTTTGGCGCTTTGGCGATATTTCGTCTTTTCGCTTTGTTGCCTTCCGGTTCTGGATATTAAAGAAACGCTATCACCGTGATTATGATTCCCCAATGACTCCGCTAGTGAAATGGAAATTAAAATGCATAAATGTGACTTATGTTTCAGCATTTTAAGAATTTTACAACAACAATGCTTAATATGTTTATCATTGTTAAATTAAAGAAAACAAATAATTTTTTGTGTCCTTCTGTTCGTCCATCCGCCTGTCTGTCTTCTGTAGGTATGCTGTATGTATTCCAACCAACAGAATGTACTATTGTTATTGGCTGAACAATAAGAAGCATGTACGTGATTACACGTATATGTATACTATATAGAATAGGAGGTTGTTTATACGATGAATTTCGTCGATGAAAATAGTTTTGATTTGTTCTGTTTTATGTTATTTTTCCGATAAAGAAATAATGTCATTACATTCTGCATAGTTATACCCGTGTGTTATGTATTTATTTTAGGAGAGGGCGCCGGTATTACTGGGGATTTTTTTTAGGAAATAAGCCGGTGAGAA